CTCTGAGCCTGTAGTTGTTTTTCAGAGACCTGTTTGGACCACGAACAGCCCCTTGGTGTGGCCATTGTCACGACCCCACAGCAAGCTGGGTGTATGGGAAGATGTTCTCCAGTGGGCAAAGGGCAGCTGCACAGCGGCCCATGTCCTCTGGTGTCAGCGTTACTGCTCCCGTTCACTGTCATCCTGGTCTGCTGTCACTTGTCATCAGGGAAACTATTCACTGTCATACCACAGTAGGGATAAAATACGTAAGAACAGATATTCCCGGTGGTGCTCTGAGTGACTGAATCACAACCGGTGTTCAGAAATTACTCTTTTTTTTTTTTTTTTCTTTCCATAGGGTAGTTTTTTATAGCATATTCCTTACAGCTGGTATAAATCAAAGAGTGTTTTGATCCTGAATGCCGGGGAAAGCCTCAGCTGCCCAGCCTACCAGCCTCCTACCTCCGAGCACAGGAGAAACCATCAGCACTTCCACTTCCACCACTCACCAGCTCTTCATTCGACCACGTTTCCCCTAGCTGAAAGGCCACTTCTGATCATTTCCCTTTCTTCTCAAGTAGCAAAGCTTCCCTGTGAGAAATCACACAGTTTGTTTTCAGATCAGACCTGCCTGTTTTGAAAAGCTTGACCCCACATTTCCCAGTGAGCTAGCGGTGACGTCCCCTGCTACGACAGGATGTCACGCGTCCAAGTCCTGAACAGCTGTGCTTGTTCTTGCTCTTTTTTTTTCCTGCCCTTCTCCCTCTCCACCCTCAAAAAACAACCTGATGGAGACCCTACAAAGGAGGAAATGCCATTATGAGTTGAGGGCCTTCTTTTTCAGCACATGGAGATTTGTTTTTCTTCATGTCTGTACACTCCGTTATATTTAGGACTCTAAACCATTCTGATTTTCAAGAAGTAGGCAACACACCCAGTTTTAAATTTACTCCTGGTTCAATACAACCTTGTTTCCAAAGTCACTCAAAGGAGCCTAACAGTAAACAAGGTCGTGTGTCTGGGAGGGTATTATTCTATATTTTTTATTTTCTTGTTGGTAAAACTGCATGTGCCTTTGGAGAATAAAGTTAAATATTTACCCCGGATCAACCATCCCTGTCTGCAGAGTTTACGTTTTGTTGGAGTTTGGGCGCACAAGTGGTATTTGCAAAATTCCCTGCCTACCTCTGCTATTATAAAACATGCTCACAAAGGCCTATTTTTTTTTACACTCAGAATATTTTCAGTCAGGCATGAGAACCTACGCGCCCTGGAAAGACGGTGAATCCAGATGTGACAGTTTGATTGGATTATGTCTGGGGCTGGCTAATTTCGGGTGCTGGCCAGGAATCTCTATGGGGAATAGTCTTGGGACTTGTTTCTGTGATTTCAGATGTCTCAAAATCAGGTTTAGTCAGATGGTCCAGGTCGCTTTGTGCAGGTGGCTGGACCCTGCAGTTGGTGGGATGAGCATGATGGTGGTACCTCCAGCACACTTCTCCTTCCTGCCAGAGGCCAGCAGACAGCATTTCTGTGATGTGGCTGGAGTCTGTCCAAATCGCTTGGCATCCCAGGCCCAACAAAGTCTTCTTGCCAAGCTAAAGTCTGCATACCGAGGCAGTGCTCTAGGCCTTCCTGCCCAGCCAGCGTGATGCGGCTCCTCTGAGGACTTCAATTTGCCTTGTGGAAAACAAGCTCTCTCCCACATGCTTTTCATGCCTTCTCCTCAGGAAACAAGGCCACTCTGTCACATGGCCCCTTGGGACACTGCAAGCTGCCCAGAACATCTCAGCTGAGATGTTTTGGGGCACCTTTATTCAAACTTCAATTGAAAAACAAAAATATACAACCAAACCCTTCCTGCCCTCTCCCCTTTCATCTCACTCCTTTCTCCACCCACCATGACTTTCAGGCGTCAGTCTTCAAACTACTTCAAATTAAATCAGTCACAGGAAATGGGCAGATGATCTATTTCTAAACCTACAGAAGAACATTCCTGTTAGGTCTCAGAAGAGTAGAGGCTAAACAGCAACCAGATCTCTGGAGATTAAAATTTCTCCCACCCAAGGAAGCTCCTGAAAGCTGCAAAAGAACTTGCTGGTCGTACAAAGAGGGCGATACCTACCAGCAGGAGGACATAGGGAAGCAGAGGTGGCATGACTAGTGTTTGCTGTATACAATTGGGAAGAGGTTTTGTAGGAAATATGGTCCAAGGGCTGCCATAATCTGTGTCAAGAAGGCATGAATCAAGAGTGAGACTCAAGATGCTGAAAACAACCCTTCCTCTTCTTTCATCTGCTTCCTCCCTTAGCAAAGAAACTCAAATACGATTTCTTTTAGACATTTTGTTGACCTTGCCCAGGTAAAAAGAAGTTTCTCCTCTGGGAAACCTAGGGGTGTAGCAATCACTACTTCACTTCATGCAGTTTTGCTCTTTCAAAACTATCTGTTACATACAGTGCATTGTGTGTGTGCTTTGTGGTAGTATATAATGACACCTAACATATTCAGTAGGACAGACAGATTCTGTGTACTAAATCCATGGAAATGCAGAGTGGATTCCACATTTTTCCACCCCCAGAAACAAAATCACAAAGCAGAACATACAGAAGTCACACCGGGAGGTAAATAATGATTTTTTGCTGTACTGTTGTACAGTCCTTTTTATGGTGACATCTGCATTGTGAGTTGGGGGGTTCACCTGACAGAAAATACTTATCATCTAGGTCTTCTCTATATGCAGTGGAGTGTGGTAGATACCCCCATGGGAATTTCATCTCATCTGCCTCTCTTAGATGGGGGTGACCTCACCTGTACCTCTGTTGACTATGGAAAAAACAAGATTTGCCTGGACTAGAAATAAAACTTCTAGGTAAATTAGTTAAATTACATAACTCCCATCCCACTGGTTTTCAGCAAAATCATGGTAAACATTAATAATGGGAATAGATGAGCAGTAGGAAAAAGGAATTGGAAACCTTTCCTCAGAGGTTTTTCTCTGAGGAAGTTTCTGTATCAACTTCCTTAAACAAAGTAGGATTTTTTTTTTTATTTGAGGGAAATGGCTCAAAATAAGTCCTGTACTCTGCTTGCTTGGTGCTGAAGAATAGAGGGGAAGGACCTGATTCCACTACAGTTGTCAGGGTTTTTTCATCCCCTTCACTGAGGCTGGAATTTCAAGTACCCACCATGAAAAAGAGGTATCAAACAGAATTTGACTGAAAATCAGCAGGACCTCTTAATTCCTGGGCCAGTGGTGAAAACTATGTTTACTCTCACCTCATTCAAAGCAAAAGGAAATTTGGTTTCATTTGAAAGGAACAGTTTGTTTGTCTATTTGTTTTTGCCTGCTTATGATCTCTCTGATGTTTTCTGGAGGAAGGACTCTAGCCTGGTGCAGGTGAAAGCCAAGACAAAACCAAAATCTTAACGTTGCAATAGGGGAAGTCAAAAACCTTAATTTAGAAGCACCAGGGGAGTGGACATCGGAAACATGCAGGCTCATTCACTGGAAAGCTACCAAGATCTACAAGTGCTGAAATGAAAACATGACACAACAGATCAGTCAACACTTACTACTGAATAAATCAGCAGGCTTCAATGTTAATCACTGCATCCATCCATGAACTCTCACAGGGTGCAGAAAAACAGTTAGTTCTGCTTAGAACTTTTTTGAGGATGATGGTAATTCATATTGTTCACCAGAAGAAATATGAAGAGTAGCATAACTGTTTGGAATGGTGTTTGGATCAGAAAATGAAGAGAAGAAAATGGAGAGGATACGGAAATCTGAAGCCTCATAAGGTCATGACGAGGAAGCTTGACACAGGCATCCCTAGGTTAGGGTGTTCTTCCCAAAGGAAAGACTGACCAGCCTTAGCACAGGTTGAAAAAGATGGAGTGGGATCCAGGATTTTGGGGTGAGGGTGTGCACCTGTGGGTCACCTGGCTGTTCTCCTGACAACCACGCAAGACCATGGAGAGATTGACTGATAATGTGGAAAATGCTTGATTTTAACTCTTGCACTTGCATCATACACTGTGTTGCTATCAATGAGTTTTCCGATTTCATATGTTCTTCTTGCTCACACATCCCTGAATTTCTCCCCTAGGTTTTCAATTTGCATATGGGAGCACACCATTTTCATATTATTAATGTAATCCATGAAAATTACTAATTAATTAATGTGTGTTATTAATGAGTATTACTAAAGCTGATAGGATTTTTGCCACAGCCAAGGGCAGAAGAGGAGTAACATTATTTTTTTTTTCCATTGGGCTTTGCAACGCAGCAGGGAGGAGACGCATGAGGACAATTTTCAGTGGTCTTGTGGGTACAGTAAGTCACAGCGGGCTTAGAATGCAATGAGGGAAATCATCAAGAAATGTTTTGTAACAGTCATGGTGGGGTTTCTGCAAGGGATGGATTAGCGAGGCTGTGGCATCTGCATCACTAGAAGTCTAAAACCAGGTGAGACCGGCATTTGTTATGATGGGTGTAAGGAGAATTAATTTTCTGCTAGGGTAGGAAGTGGACTGGATATGTCTCTAATAAACTTAATCTTCTATCTCTATAATAAATAAAATAGTGCAACCTTTGCAAAAAGACAGGTTAAACCTCTCTTTTAGAGAGGTTTAGGTTCAGGGGTTCAGGGCCTCAAGTACATATTTGAGGTCTGCATGGGAATAGGTCAAAATCACATTTCTAGTTTGCAATGCCCTGTAAATAGGTTGCATTTTGAAATAAATTTAAGTAAAATTAAAATTAAATTAAATTAAATTAAATTTTAATTTAAATTACTTAAATTAAATTTAAGTAAATAGCTTATAGCTTTAAAAAAAAAAATAAAGCACCCAGATATCTTTTCACTTCTTTTTGAAACAGGTGGAATTGAATGTCTTTGAAAGTGTCTGCAGATGCTTACTTTCCTGTTTAGTCCTATTAATTCTCTCTCATAGTTTCACAAATCAAGTGTTCCTTAAAAGTTATCAGGAAAAAAAAATCAAGGAAAATATACCTGGTATCTTGAGTCACGTGTGAACAAGCTGCAAGTCAAGACTGCATTGAGCTCTGAGGAAGGTGGTGGTGAACACTGTTGTGGTGACAATTCCCAGGAGCTCCAGCCACAGGGTAAGGATCTGTAGGTCTACATGTATCCATGAGTCTGGAAAGTAGAAAAGACTCTCATTAAATCAGGATTATGGCCCCATCACACCCTGTCAGCCTGTTTAATTAGTCTGGGCTACTCAAAAAGCTAATGTGCTGCCGGCTATTTTTACAGCGTGTTTTCTGCTAGGCTGTGTTTTGCTGATGTCAAGGAAATTAACAGAAATGAAGCCTCTTTCCAAATCCGGGGGCAAGTGTGTGCTGTGGAGACACTAGGGGTAGGCATGGAGGGGCCAGGGTGAGCCCTAGGACACTAAGGGGTATGAGCTGTGGGGACAGTGAGGGGGACACCAAGGAATACACTGAGGGGAAATATGAGAGCTGTGGGGATATGAAGGGAGATGTGTGTGTTGTGGGGACACTGAAGGGCACACCAAGGGGGACACTGAAGGGACATGTTAGAGCTGTGGGGATGATGAAGGGAGATGTGTGTGGTGGGGTCACTGAGGGGACATATGGGAGCTGTGGGCCACCAAGGGGGAACACTGAGGGGACACTGAGGGAACATTTGAGAGCTGTGGGGACAATAAAGGGAGATGTGTGTTCTGTGGTGTCACTGTGGGACACTTTATGGAGACACTGAGGGGACATGCGAGATCTGTGGGGACAATGGAGTGTGTGCACTGTGGGGACACTGAGAGACACACTCTGAGAGACACTGAGGGGACATATGCGAGCTGTGGGGCCACCAAGGGGGACACAGAGGGGAAATGCGAAAGCTGTGGGGACACAGGGCGACACTTAAGGGACCTGTGATTACAATGGGGACATTAAGGGGTCTTGTGAGAGCAGTGGGGACACTGAGGGGACACATACGAGCTGTGGGGCCCCCAAGGGGGACACCGAGCGGCCATGTGAGAGCCGCTGGGGCACTGGGGGCCGCGGGGACACCGCTCGGGGGGCTCTGAGGGGCCGTGCGCGCCCCTCTGCCGCCCATGGCGCTGAGGCGGGCGTCAACCACGGGGGGCTGCGCGGGCCGGGGTCGCTCCGAGCCGCCCCGTTCCGCTCCAGGCCGCGCCGGGGCAGCACCGCCCCTCGGCTGGCGGGTCCCTCCCTCCTCCGGGGCGGGCAGCGGGAGGCGGGCGGCTAGCGGGCCGCCAGGCAGCGAGCGAGCGTGGAGCGAACAGCCAGCAGCATGGAGCCGGCGGGCGGCGTGGAGAAGGGGGACAGCGGGGAGAAAGCGGGCAACGGCCATGCGGAGGGCGCCGAGGAAAGCGGCGGAGCAGGAGGAGGAGGAGGAGGAGGAGGAGGGGGGAGGCTGAGGGGCTGCCGGGGCTTCCTGCGGCGCAACGCGCTGGTGGTGCTGACCGTGTCGGGGGTGGTGGCCGGCGTGGCGCTGGGCGCCGCGGTGCGGGGAGCGGCGCTGAGCCCGGCGCAGGTGGCTTACCTGGCCTTCCCCGGGGAGCTGCTGCTGCGCATGCTGCGCATGGTCATCCTGCCGCTCGTGGTCTGCAGCCTGGTGTCCGGGGCTGCCAGCCTCGACACCCGCTCCCTCGGCCGCCTGGGGGGCATCGCCGTCGCCTACTTCTTAGGCACCACGCTGCTGGCCTCCGGCCTCGCCGTCGCCCTCGGCTTCATCATCCGCCCCGGCGCCGGGGCTGCCGCCCTCAACACGCCCGGCTTGGGGCTGCCGGGCGCTGCGCCCCCCAGCAAGAAGACGGTGGACTCCTTCCTCGACCTCGTCAGGTGGGGCCTCCCTCCATGCTTTCCTCCCTGCCCCCTCCTCCTTCCCTCCCTCCAGCCCCGGAGGATGATGACAGACCCGGCGATGTTGCACGCTGCCGCTCGGGCACCCCCCTCCTTCCTCCTTCCTCCTCCTCCCTCCTGCGGGCTGGCCGCCTCGCTGCCTCAGCATACCTTCCCTCAGCCTCCTTCCACCCCTCAGCATCCCTTCCCTCAGCCTTTTTCCATCCCTCAGCCTGCTCTCCTCATTATTTTTGGCCTGGTGGTTGTGAGGGTGGCGAGTGTTTGCCCAGGGCACCTTCTCCTGCCCCGCTGCCTGTTGTCTCTGGAGCCCTTCTCATCCCTCACACACACCTTTTTCTTTTGCGTTTTCATATATCCCCCCCTCCAGCCTTTGTTCGGTCTCTTCACGCGAATCCCAACTTGCCTCTTGTTGCACCTTCACCTCCCTCAGGTAGAGGTGTGGAAACACAATCCCGTACTGCCATCGAGGAGGTACCCAGCACATCACGGGGCATGTTGGCACCCGGCGTAAAGGGCAAGAGCTGCAGACATAACCTTTTTTCTTTCTCCTCAGAGCCCACGTCTTGTCGAGATCTGCCCGGCTCTTTAAATAAAAGAGAAATAATTACATAAATGGGGCAGGCATCCAGGCAAACTGCTCGAGTCCCAGACTTGCAGCAGCGTTCGCGCTCTGCTGATTTGTGGTGCAGAACCTGAGGCGCGAAGCACTGATGGGTCTTGTTATCCTGGGTCAGATTTTGTCACTTTTTCATACCCGAGGGCAGTCACGGGGAAGTACCATGGGCGTCTGAGGGAAGTGGTGGAATAAGGTAAAGCCGGGGAAGTGCCGCTGGGGCTCCCCTGGCAGATGCAGCTGAGTGATGGGAAGTGATGGAGGACGGGGTGTGGAAGTTTGTGGAAATTTTGGAAGATGGAGGGCCCTGGAGGTGGCAGGGCTCACCGAGATGTAGACAGAAGTGTAAGGGAGGTGACCCACAAGGTACCAGCCAAGTGGCTGAGGAGCTGTGCTTAGCAGGGATCCTGGTCATGGCAAAGCAGAGGGGGAGGGCTCTTCATTTGTATCTTTGCTTTTCGAGTTCAGTTCTTCAACTGAGAGACTTTTTGATGTATCTGGGTAAACAGATGTGACAGCAAAGATAAAGAGTTTCTAAAGAGAAAATCTGTATTTAGAAATCCATGTTTTTTTCCTCTTCTCCTCCATCTCCGGATGGACCAGTCCAGTGGCCCATTGGCCATCCTATATTTCATATCTGTAACCTCTTACGGCCAACCCTGACAATTCTTGACAGACTGTGTTGAGGAGTAATAACAGGACAGCGGGAGTAGGTGGCCTGGCTGTGAAGGTGACAAGGAGTTGATAAAAGCAGCGTGAAGGAAAATCACAAAAGGAGGAGTCAGCACGATAGTAGGTGCTGGGAAGCAGATGACTGTTGTGGTGGCTGTCCCGGGGTGCATCCTAGCGTGGCTGCTGCAGCTGGTGTTTTTTTTGCTGTGTCGCCATGCCGTGAGGAGTAGGATGTAGCCCAGGGATGCTCCAGTGAGCTTGAGACCGTGGACATTGCCTGTGAACTTGGGAGCAGAAAGCTGCTTCTTGCTCTGGGCTCTAAATGCAGGTAGGGAGTTCGTCTTCCAAGCTATCATGCTGATGGGGTTGAGACCTTCACTCCAAAGTTATGCTCATTATGGTGAGACTTGGGGAAAACGTGCTGATAGCAGAGTGATTTCCTCTGGGAAGTGAGGTGCCAGGGGCTTTCCCCCAACACGTGTGTGGTACCCTTTGAAATCAACTTCTTCTTGGAGCTCCAGGCAAGGGCTATGGTGGCCATGCTGGGCAGTCCAGTTACCAGAGCCATGATGGCGAAATTTAGTCGGGAAAAGAGGAGTTTGGACACGGAGCCATCCCTGTACTGTCCTCTAAAACTCCTGGTCTTAACATAGATCCCTGACAGGCCTGGGGATGGAGTGAGTTGTGTGACTCTCTGGAGATAACACCTTCCTCTCCCTTTTAATTATTACTTTTTTAAACCATTCTTAAAAACGTGAGAATTTTGGTTTGAGCATTGGTCTCGGTCCCTCTGGTGTTGGAAGGCTCCAGAAGGAGACCAGCCTTGTCTTCTGTTAAGGAGGCCTCAGCTCTGGAGGGCCAAAACCATTGCCTTCAGCATGGGTGGGTCTGAGCTTTTCTGGTTTTTGGTTAATGAAACTTCCCGTTAGACAAAAGAGAACTCAGTTTTTCGGTTGTGTCATGAGAGTCCCTGTGTCCCTCAAAGCTTTCCTGCTCAGTCATTTTCAGATAAAATGTGAAAACGAGGTGCAACCGGGCTGAGTCCCCCAGCAGCACTGAAAACATGCGACACGTGGCCTAAGGAAGTCCCAGCTGTGAGTCAAATATTTACCATGGCTTCTGCAGGGATGACACAGGGTGTCCTTTCCCAGGATACAGATCCTTTCTGCGCTTGGGAAGTTTATTAATTAATGACCAAAGACGCTGCTTTCCGTCGTCGCAGCGATGTCTGGAGGTCATCTTAATACTTGGTCATGGTTTTCTGTCTCCCAGTCTAAAGCTTCCACATAAATACACATCTATGCATGCAGACATGGCCTCTGGAAAAGAGATTTATCTTGCTTGGGCTTCAGAAATAAATGAATGGTGACTCACTAGTGAACCAGAGGCTGCTGGTCCCAGCTATAGATGGGCCTCATGAACATCTCCAGAGCATCTGATGTGGAGAGCAGCTCTGCTGTGCCAAACGTCAGAGCAGCAGAAGATGAGGAGAGAGCCTGACCAGGGAGAGACAGGTGGGGTGGTGAGGAGGAGGTGACGGCAGATGCCAACTAACACGGCCCACTCCACTCATAGCTCAGTGGAAGGTGGTGGAATCAGCAAGATCAAATGTTTTGCAAGAATCTATCGATTTGTCAACGCTTCCGATGGGCAATTGTCAAGACTGCATGTTTCAATAAGGTCAGAGTTTTGTGTTGGCTCTGATGTGTATTTGTTGATTCAACAACATCGAGCAGTTTCACGGGAACTTATTGATTCAGTCGAAATTTCCAACGGCGGATGGTCCTGACATTTCGTTTCTGTGAGGTCAGTGTTTTGGTGTAATTATAAACAAAAGACTTGAGCAGAAAATCCCTCTCATCAAAACAGAACATTTCAACAAAGTATTTTACAGTATTTTTAGTGGAAAAAAAAGGTCTCAGATGGTGGTTTTCTTTGCCCTATTTTGGGATGAAAACATATTTTGAAACCATGGCGTTGGCTTTGGGACGGGAATTCTGTTTTTGTTTTCAATCCAGCCCTAGCTGTAGCAGTCGTGAGTGGGAAGGAGGTGGCATCATTAGCTTTTTATAGGAAGGGTACGCGGAGGTCCAGGTGTTTGCCTCAAGCAGTAAGGTCAGGGTTTCTCGGGCCCGATAGACAAACCTGCTGCCAGTTTAAATTTTATTGCTCCTTTCTGTCTCCCTGCCAGAGGTTACCAGCTGGGCTGCCAAAGGGAGTACCCACGGCGCTGTGAGCAAGCCTGTGGATTACCTCCAAGCGCCGTCGAAGCCGGAGGGAAGGCAGGCGTGAGTTTGAGCACAGGGAAAAGCAGCAGAGGGCCAGGATGGACCTTGGGGAAGGTGGGCTCCAGAGCACTCGTTCGGACAGCAGTCACCCCAGAAACGCTTGCTTCTTAAAGCTCTGGTCTTCCACTCCGAAATCCTGATGTGGAAGCAGAGAGCAAGACTTTACAGTTAGGAAAGGAGGGGGAGATGACACCTTATGGTGATGACTAGGTTTAAGAAGTGGCTGGGAGCAGCTGCAGTTACGCAGATGTTCCTGAGGTACACTAACCATGGGGTTTTGTTGCTGTTAGCTCTGGAGTACCCTCAGAGAAAGGAGAAATAGTAAATGTTACTGTCCAACTTCACTTGTGTCATGAGGCTGGATCCTCCCTTGAAGCGTAGGGGTTGCTGACGGAGTTTTGTAGTAAGCACTTGGCATTTTTGTTCACCTGCCTGCACTATCTATACTTTTTAAATTGTCTGTAGAGAGCTTCTGAACATTTGTGTGCCTTTCTCTCAGAACTAGTTCCCTTTTACTGCTGACTCCTCACACTTATGCTTTATTTCCCAGGCAAAGTAAATACAGACTGGACCATTAAGACAAAAAAAGTATCAAATATCTGCTATAAATAAATAACATCAAGTTTCTGCGAGTTAAAGCAGATGCACACACTCACTGATAACGTAGATATCCAAGACATGCACTGTGCATCCACACACCTACAAAAACGCAGACAAGAAAAATTCTTGTGTGATGGTGAATGAAAATCCGGAGACAGAAAGAAAAATAAAGCTACTAGAGCAGTCCAGACTGTGCTGTGTTCTGGCAGGCTTTCAGATGGCAATGAAGTTGCTGTCGGTGGAGTCTTACCATTGAAAAGACTTCATTGAAAAACAGGAGATAACAACACCGAATATTTTTTTCTAATGTTCACCCCTTTGGTCCAGGCGTCCTCAGAAAAATATGTTTTCCAACAGCAAGGCTTTTGGCCTCAGAAGTGGAACCTTTTTGTAAGAAGCCATAGAAGAGGAATGCTTGTTATTTTAGGGTTTTGTTCTGCTTGCCTGGATTTCCCTTCATGGTTTTGCTGCCAGAGCAAAGCAGTTTGCAGAGCTCTAGCAAAAGGATCGTTTAGAAACAGTGATTAATAATAATCCCTTACACATGCAGCAAAGGAGTTCCTGTGCCAGCCGTACCCCACTGGTGGAAAGACACAGGGTAAGGAGGAGAGAGGAATTTGACCATAATGTCAAAATCGATAAGGGAGGGAGCTACAGCCTCCAGAGCACCGCTGTGGAGCTGCAGTTGCACATTTGGGATGTACTGTGCTTCCTCACCTCCGATAACCCCCTTCCCCTTTGTGTGAGCTCTGGCATGGCAAAATACATCTTTCTATAGCCTTTACAGGCACTACTACTCTTTACAGTAGCCAAACAGAAAGTATGCAAACCCCGAAACTTCTGCTGTCGGTGCTGTTGCTGCATCTGGTTCCTATTTTAAGAGAATTTGAGATTGGTGCTTCCTCACAGCAGGCGGCGTGCAGGTACGGGGGGGTTTCCTTGCTCAGCCCAGCTGCCGCTCCGGCCCCAAGGTGCAGCTGTTCCTCCTGACAGCTGTGGATTTTTGTTCTTTTTGTCTGCCTGCAGCTCTGGGAGAGCACAGAGTCTCTCTGTATCAGATACTCCACCACTACGAAGGTTTCACCTCTTTGCACCACAAGTCCAGGCTGCCTGATCCCACAGCCCTGCGCCAGGCTCCTTATCACCCAGACTCAGGGTTTGCTTGCAGGCACGCTCTTGTGATAACCTGCTGTGGAAAGCTGGCCACGTTCTTCAGCAAGGGCACGGCGGTGGCAGGGACGGGGACAGACACTGAGCAGCAGTAACCAGCAATCCTGTGACAGAGCCGTGCTGATTTCCTTCTACTCCCTATTCATGTTTGGTGTGGGCACCCCGAGCGAGAAACCCACAGATCCAGGCCGTGCAGGAGCACCAGCTGGCAGGCACCCGCGTTTAATTTGCACGCCCAATTAGCCAGGTTTCTGTTCGCTGCTTCACCCGGGCAGGAGGGGTGTTTGCGCTCCCCTGCGCGACCCCTCGGCTCGCCTGGGGACGCGGGCTCGTGGGGACAGACCCGGGGCTGCTGCGCTGCAGTCGGTGAGCTTTGCTTCGCCACGCACGCTGAGCGAAGCCTGCGGACACAGCTGTGCCCAGGCAGGTCACGAGGAGGTTTTTGTCTCTTCCTGAAGCTCCCGGCGTCCTGGCCCGTGTTTTTTAGGCGCTGGGGTGGTGTTTTTGCACAAAGACATCTTACGTGATGGAGCCGAAAACCTGCGGTCTGACTCACAGCGTAATTAAAGCTTAATTTAATTCGCGTGCTGCCCAATCTTGGTGAGGGATGAGCATGGGCTGTGCAGAGCTGGTGTCTCTGCGATAAGCTGGGTATTTGGGGATTGCTTTTTATGAGCTCTTCTTAACCTCCAGGCTTTGAAACAAAGAGGAGCAAAACGTTTTATAACGTGCTGTGAATTAGTCAGGTGTGCTGAAAAGTTGGGTGGAACAAAACAGGTGATGCAAGGGAACCTGTGAGTCCTCCTGAGCTGCTGAACTGAGTGAGAGCCAAATTTACCACTGGGTGGACTGTCAAAAACACTCTTCTCTGTCCTCAGAAACGAGTCCAGTGACGGGTGCTGCAGGGATGAAGCAGGGCAACTGCAGTGTGCTGGTGTTTGCATAGCTCAGCGCGCTGCTTTGCCTCTGAAGCAGGAACCTGACCCTTGTCTTCGTGTAGTAGGGCTACTGACATCACCCAAGTATGTGCTCTAAGTATATGCTTGTAGTGAACTTGGTGTTTAATTACTGGGGCCCGTGCCTGACGTACTGTGTAAATTATGGAGGCTTGGGTTCCTCGGCTGCATTTACACGCTGGAGAACCATAGTGTTGGGGCTTTGGGGTTGCTTCCTTTGGTTTGGTTTTGTCAGGATGGAAAAGCTGATTTAAAAAAAAAAAAAAAAGGTAATTTGATTTTCGTGTGGTTTTCCGTCTTTTTTCATCTCTCTGCTTCGTCAAAATCCAGTCAATTCTTTTTTTTTTTTAAAAAAAAAAAGTAACCGCCCTGATATGAAAAACTGAAATGATGTGCTCTGGTTTTTCCAACAGCGTGTTTTCCTTTTCCTTCGGGTTAAAAATATGCACTGAGCTGGCCCTGTTCATACATGCAGCATTTTACTCCAGATAGCAATAAGTGTGCTTTGACTTGGGGAGCTTTCTCTGCACCCGAGAGTTGCAGCTGCCAAAGCATTTCTGCATTTTAGCAGCCCCGTGTGTACTACACGACCAGGTCTTAAGCATCTTTGTAGGGTTGGAGCTGTCTCCTGCTTTCAGGCAGGCGGCTGTATTGGCAAAGGAGAAAAAATTGCATTCGTGGTGCTGCCAGGGCTGTGGGAAAACCTTCGTCGTGCGGCAGGGCGACAGAGCTGTGCAAATGACCGACGGCCTTATCTGTGCCGTATCTTAACCTTTCCTGAGCTCCTCTCCCTCTTGCTTTCGAAGATTTGACTCTGCTGCTCTGTTCCTTGCTGTGGTTTGGATTTGAGCTTCCGTGGGATGATCGCAACCAAAACCCTGATGTGAGTGTGTTTGCCAGGACAACTGCAGCAAAACTGGGGGGGATAACAGGACAGAGATAGAAAAGTGGCTTGCTTTGAGCCCATTTCCGTGCAGTGCGAGGAGCAAAGGATGGGGTGAAGCTACCCCAATTCTTTTTGCCACAATTCATGGGTTCTGGGTAAGGTCTTTTGTTTCCTTGCCATGAGAATTCCTGTCCCCCCGTCCTGCGTTCAGCCAGCAGTGTTTCCAGTTCATCCCCCTCGCCTCCCTGCCCTCAGCAGCTAGGGTCCTGTCTGCCCGGTGAGGAGCAGCTTCTCTGCCCGTTTTGCTTTCTGACACAGCAAAAAAAGGCTGCTGCTTGGCTCGGGGAGCTCATGCTCTTTACCCAGTGTACCCAGAAAGGAAGCGTGGCATTAAAAACAACCGGTGAACTCTGAAATGCAACAAGAAGCAACTTCTTCCGCACGTGCCCCAGTTAATCATTTTGCCTGGCCGTGTTGCTTCGTGGATGCACCGAGTGCCCGATGCGAGCGTTCGTCACCTCGCACGCTGTCCTCTCTGCACGGACCTGCTGCTCAATCTGCATTTCTGGGTGAAGGCACCGTGAATTCGGGTCTTGCAGCTTTTTTGTCCTTTGCCACTACTTCCATCCGTGCCGTTTAACCGCGCCAGCGCTCGCAGACAGCTCCGGCCCGCGGCATTGTTTTGCTTCAGCTTCGCGTTCGGGAGAACCGCCCTCGTTGTGCTGAAGGCTTAAGCTGCTCGCTGAGGTGGATTGTGCTGATTGGATTGTCCTTCGTGTTCGTGCTGTGGGCAAACTGTAATCACATGAGTAATGTTAAAAACCTGCCGAGCCCTGGAGGCCGTGAGCTGTCGCTGCAGCCGGTTTGTGTAGCCACTGGCTGGTGTGTTTAACTAGCATCGGGTCTGATTGCCTCTGATATCCGACCCAAATGGTCAGCTGTGGGTGCACACAGGGGCTTTCTGGGTGAGCAAGAGGAGGAGGTGTGGAAATGTCACACCTCTGGAGAAGCATCTGCTCCGTGCTGCCAGAGTTTCTGCTGTCGTACGTACCTCGCCTAATGCCACTGTGCTTGCCTTTGCAAAATGAAGTTTCTGAGAGTAAAACATCTTGACACAATCGTTTTGGAAGTTCTAAAAGAAATATTTCATTTTCTTGCTTGTATTTTACAGAAACCTGTTTCCTGCAAATCTCGTTGCTGCGGCTTTCCGAACGGTAAGATACGTGTGGATTTTGGACATGAATTACACTGCAGGCAGACCAAGTGACTGCTGTTACTTAAAAACAAACCAAACAACAGCAACAACAACAACAAAAACAGAAAGAAGTCATATTAACTTGCAGTACGTGGAATTTCTGAAAGCACCTGATGTAATCAGACATACGAATTCCATGGCAAACGGTGCGATTTTGTAGGGCTCTGTGTGTTCAGGGATGAACTAAGGTCCTCCTTGCCTCTGTGCTGCCATTGTCACAGGTAATTGGCAAGCACAAAAACTTTATCTGAAGAAATAAGACCCAAAGAAGCGCCCTGCTCTTGTGAGGTGTCTAGCTTCTTTATCAAAGTAAACTGTTGGCCTTGATTTCAGGTGCTTTACTGACAATTGTAATGTCTGTCTCACCATTTTCTACAGGTGAAACAGTGCAAGCACCACTTGCCTTCCACAGGAGCCAGTGCAGCCGTGTGGTGCATGAGCAAGAGCAGGGTAGAGGAGAGGGGAGTTCCTCTGCTGCTACCCAAATCTCAGTTGTCCCATAGCACCTCTCTCTTCCCACATAGGGAAGGAGCTGCATGTGCTGCTCCCCTTTTCCAGCACAAGGCAGGCTCATTTTCTCCACAGTATGGTCTCCAGAGAAAGTTCCTGACAGTAGCCTTGTTTTTGTGGAATACTGGCTGATAGAGTCGTATTGGTGATCTGCTCAACATAAACTTTTTTTTTTCTTTTTCCTTACCTGCAGTATGTAACAGAGTACAAGACAGTGCTCAGAAATACTACCTCTGGAAATGTCACGGTGGAAAAGGTAAGGTCACTTCTTAGGTTTTTATACACACCCATTTATAGTATTTGACTGCCTCACGGTCTTTAATCCCTTCCAGCACTCACAGGAAAGAAACAAGATTTCCCTTTGTCTGGAACTTAGACACACAAGCCTGATGAGTTCGTCACAGTCACAAAACAAAGCTATGATGGATAAGAGAGTTGGACTCAACTAAGCTTACACTTGATACCTTATTTTTAAGACATGCTTTCTGAGACCCAGACTCACCTGATCTGAATTTCGATTAGTCCCTCTGCCTCGTATTTCCAAATAATTTTCTGTAGCCTTGGAGTTAAGTAGCAATCAGAAAATCAAACATCTTCATTACTGGCCAGAGCCAACATGTTACAGATGCAGCAGTAATTAAATTTGCCTTACAGACAGCATGCTACAGAACAGACCAAACATCTCACCCTACAGCATTTCACCTCACTCCAAATGAAATGTCCCGTGTGCTTTTGTGGGATTTTGGGGAGACGGGACTGAGCCTGGAAATGACTTTCAGAGTTATTTTGTATTTCTCAGGTTTGCTCTGAATGTCTGAAATGATTATCAGGCATATTACTGTATTTTTAGTATGATTTATGTCTCGCTAGGGCAAGACCTTTGTAATGTTGCTGTGGAAGGGCTCAGGTGGGGCTTGCCCACCAGTTCCATCGATCTGTGTGGAATGCAGTTTATGCTCTGACACGAATCCCGAGTGCAGGAAGATCTGTCCTCATCACCTTCTCCTCTCCATGCAGGCGATGCAGAATGCTGTGTTTTCAAACCCTGCTTTGGGCTCACGGGCTGAACTTTCACCAGTCCTGGAGGCAGGGTGGCAGGTGACTTCGATGGCACAAGAGCCGAGCAGGGGAAAAGTCAAGCCTTTATCCCGCAGCGAGCAGTTTAACTGGGGAAGAAGGCAGCCCCATCTGCTCGGGCTCTGCCCGTGCCTGTAAGATCGCATTAGCCCAGATCTGCGCTCACCCGATCTGACACGGGTGCGTGGGAATGGCTGCAGAAGAGCCATGTGACCCCAAAAGAGCACTTTTCTTTTCTCGTGCCATTATATCCTCAGGCAATACATGCCTGTGCAGCCTTGTGCTGCTGCAACCAATTTCAACATGAAAGGCTGTAACACTATGTACTTAGGCATGTGTGTTTGCTTGCAGAGTGTGAAGTTATTCATTTAAGCAGGGGTAAATGGAAGGTGGATAAGATTCCTCTTACTCATCTTCAGTGAATAACATTGGAGGAACTTCTTGCCAACCAAGCACAGATCGGGGGCAACCATATCCAATAGACATAGGCTCAGATGTGGAGCACTTTTAAAATTCTTTTGAAAGTCATCATGCTTCCCCAACAGATAAAAATGCACCCTTAGTCGATTTGAAATGTGAGGTTATTTTTCAGTTTTCTGTCTTTTTTTTCTCACTTAGCAGGTTCCAGATTGATGTAATATCACAAAAAATATTCTGAATTTGTCACTGGTGTCTGGATTTGCCAGTGGTTATGATGTAAATGTTATTTCTCCTATTACTTTCCCACAACTTCCTTCAGTTTTTGCAATTAAACGAGATCTCAGCTTCTATAATTGCAGAAGACGTTCTACTGCCTCTAGGGAAGAAGGCACCAGATAATAATAAAAACAAAAAATACCATCTTGGTGTTGTTAGCTCAGTTTCAGTACTGGTCTAACTACATTAGTTACGGATAGATGAGAACTAAGTTTGGAAAGGAAGAGTATGATTTTTGGGTAATGAGTAGTATAAATATCACAGCCATAGAAGCTGGGTTACAGGAACCAAGATGGTATTCCTATCTCATGTTTTCTTTCATCAGCAGAATATTTAAAGAGGGGATTTTTTTTTCCTTCTTCTTTCCATATGAACCGTGTAGAACAAAATTTTACATTGATTTTTTTTTTTTTCCACTGGTTAATAATTCCTGTCTTCTCTTGCTGTTGATATGAGTAGTGGGGCACGTAGGTGTCTGCTCAGCCCCATTCTTTGTTTTGTTTCACATGCTCCCTCGTGTTTACCTAGCTTTTATGGCTACATCCTCTCTGTCTCTTTGGCAGCAAGGCTTCCTGGGGCACAGACTATCTCAGTTCCCCAGCTGCAGCACAGGGAGGCTGTGAGGGATGCCGAGTTCCTCCTGTGGCCGTAGAAAAAATACACAAACTGCTCATTGCTCTTCTTCCTCACATCACATGGCTGCATTTTCTTTTCAGCCACCTACTACTGGGATAGCTCAATGTCAGCAGTTGTTTCCTTAATACACGTTTTGTTTTTAAGAGCTAAAAAACAATAGGATCTTCAGAGGCTTCAAGGACCAGAAGAGATCTATGCATCTTTCTATTAGGACACATAATTTCAGGCAAACAATAACGTGCTCCATAGTTTACCCAGGAACAAAGCTCTCATTAAAGCTGTTTTTGTTTGGTGTCCACAATGCTGCTTGGCTTGACAGCTCCTTTGGGATGATGGACTCTTCTGTTAGAGTACAAAAAGGCTGTTCAGCATCTGCCAGTTTTAGGGGCTGGGATTGAGAGGATCGTCCGCTGAGGATTTACTGCTGGGCTTCTTCCGTATTTTGCTGCAAGGAAATGCAATTCCCCGAATATTGCAGACTCTTCCCTGAAAGTCAAGGGGACAACTTCTGCCTAAATTTGCAGCGATAATAGGTGATGGGGAATGTTGGAAAGAAATGGGCTGAAAAGGAAGAAAATGGGAGCGAGACCTGAAGGCAGGGGGAAACAGCAAAGAAGTTTTCAGTGGCTGCACAGAGTCCTCCCTCTTGTCACCAAGAGCTCAGGGGTCTCCAAATTACAAGAGCTAGGCTTAAAAGGGCTCTGAAGTGTGAGCACCTGGCGAACAGCAGCAGCTGGGAGCAAGGTGGAGAAAGACATCTCCAAGGATGAAAGAGGACTGAACTCTGTGTATTGTCATTCTGGAGAGGGATGGGGTGAAGGAGTTAGAGAAGAATTGGCCAGTTTATGCACAGTAGGCCACTGTGAATGTTAACAGGAGGTGAGAAGCTGTGTGTACCCTGGCTGTAGCTAACTGGAGATGAGAGTAGCACGTTTTGCCCTCCTAGCTTTCCAGGAGCAAAATCTGGCAAGCCTTTGACACCCGTTGCTCTGAATGAGGTGGAGCGGCTGATGCTTTTGGGGTCTGAATGAACCAGAAGAGCACTGACCTGCTCTGATCAGGGAAACGATGTTCCAAATTGGGCACAAGGAGCTCTCGCTCTGTGTCCCTGGATGCCCTGCACAGCTGGTGGGAAGCTGCGTGATCCTCCTGCAGATTCAGCGCAGTTCTGCCTCGTTCTTGAGACCAGATCGTTGGGAAGCCCAAACGGCAGCAGGTTGCTAGGCTTCAGGCTCACGCTGCTGCATTAATGAGTTGAGAAGCAGTTCTCCAGCAGAAGGGGTTTAAAGGAGAGAGATACTTTGCAAAACACTGGTTTAAGTAGTGTCGTGAAATTCCCTCCCCCTAACATCCAGGTCAGGATGCTGGACACTTTCAGCAGCTTGAAACACTGTGTGTGTGTTGCATAGCAAAGTTTGATACAGATTTTTTTTTTCCTGAATGAGAAACAAACAAAAAGACCATTCAGTGTTGTGGGTTTGTTTTTGTTTTTGTTTGTTTGTCTCGGTTTGTTTTTGTAAAAACATTCTTTGAGGTGGAAAAAATTGGGGACCATTATGGTAAAATTTTGTTCCAAGCAGGGGTTTTCATATTAACCTTGTATCAAATGAACCTGATATGAGATGTTATATAATAAAATAATAAGTCTAAAATACCAGGATGAAAAGTTGTGTTGAAATGGCAAAGGATTCAATTCACTCTGTGAACCATTTTCTGACATAAAAACACCTACCTTTTGCCTGAGTTGACATTTCTCAGAGCAAGCTTTGTTTTTATGAAATGACGTGGCCTACAAGAAGAAAAAAAAAAAGTCAAGCAGCATCATTTTACTGCATATTTATTTACTTTCTGTGAATAAATCTGTCATAAAATTCAACACTCATACATTGATCCGATGAACTGTCACTGAAACTTAGTTAAGTTTTACTATAAGGCTGCTAGAACTGATTTCTTATCCTATTTTTACCAAAAGAAGTGAAAAGTAGAAAATGTGCACGTACTGTGTACACAGACCGTTTATTGAATTACTAGGAAGGTCTCATTTTTTTCATCTTAACTTGCCTGAGAAGAGTTTAGGGTTTTCAGACACACAAAAGAGAATGTAGACAAAACTAGCAGACAGAAAAGTTGCTGTGTGTGCAGAAAACAACACAGTTCTTCAGACATCTCTGGAGATACACCGAGTCCCAGTGCTAATATGCTGTCCATGTTTTCACTTCTCTCAGTCTGAAATCAAATAAATACTAACTTCACCCTGAACAAGCAACTACCATAAAAAAATCACAGCTCCTATATCTAATTATTTAGTAGCTATCAAATAAAAAGCCAGAACCTCCAGTGTCTGTCCTCATAAACACAGTTGTTAACAGCAGTTTAACCTTCACACTGCATTGTGTATAATTTATTTTATCCCCTTCTGTGCAGCTCTGCATTTCCACCTGTCACTAAGAGACAGTCCAGTTCAGCAGTGTATTTCCAGAGCAAGTCTCATCTCAGGCACGCTGCTTTTATCTGTAGCAGATCAGTACCCTGAGTTCTTTAGTCAATATTCATTTTAAGCTTTTAGCTGAGAATATGTTTTTCTTTCCTAGTGTTGAGCTAGTGTCTACTTAAACTAGCCAAAAGGACAAAGCTTGTCCATAAATCTAATTTGTTTTCGAAGCCGTTCCAAATAAAATAAAAAAATGACATGTAGAACTTGTACTGCCAAGTTGGAGGAAAAAAAATGTTTGTCAAAACAATTGTATTTTTACGAAGCCACAAGAGCACTCCCTCAGTTCATGCGATACTGCTTTGCCAAAAAAGTCCCAGCTCTTCTTGAGAGGCAAACCGTGAAGGAGCAGCTGACCAGACTTGTGAGTAGGTTGGTTTTTGTGAATAGACAGATCCTGTTTTTCATCCTCTTACTTGTACCACACAGACACACGATTTCTGAGAAGGAGAACAGGTATTTCTTCTGCTCTCTGTGCATCTCCCCAGCTGATGTGGAGATGTGAATGAGTGGCTTTCCCACTTTGCTACCTTACTCTGCCTTTTCTCTCCACTTTATAACACTGAATGTCTTCTCGTGGTTTTCACCTCGGTATAAAAAGTGTACTAAAGCAATGGAGCTAGCAGTTTGTGAAAAGAGATTCCTCTCAGAAGTGTCAGGAAATAACAGTGTGTTTGGATACTGTAGTGTATTGGAGGGTGTAAGGGCAGGTAGCAGCATGCCCTTTCCCTCCTCCGTAAATCCACGCTAGCTGGAACCAAGGAATTTTGTATCAGGACTAAATCCAGATCTTGTTTGGTTCCTTTCAACTGTGTACCACGTTTCCATTCTGCAATGCTGAGCTGTCTCCAGTAAAGTGCTGCCCGTCCCAAAATAAGTTCTGCATGTTGACTTTAGGTTAGCAACAAAACAAGGTGACCCTTTTGTTGGGTTTTGCACCAGTCTCATATCTAATAAGTCTCCTTATTTTACCTCTACAGATCCCTGTCGGTAATGAGATTGAAGGGATGAATATCCTGGGCCTCGTGCTGTTTGCTCTGGTTTTAGGAGTGGCGCTGAAGAAGCTTGGCCGGGAAGGAGAAGATCTCATTCGCTTCTTTAATTCGTTCAATGAGGCAACTATGGTCTTGGTCACCTGGATTATGTGGTAAGTGTGTGACTGCAGGTACATCTGCACTAGATCATTATGCTTAGTCAGGAATCCCACCATTTATCCATCTCTCCAGCTTTTTCACACCAGATTCTTCACCACAGCAAAAGTCAATGTCATGATGTTACTCTGTAGTGTATTTTCTTCTTGCCTTTGACCTGTTGTGCATAGCTAAAGTATCAGATAGATAGCTGCTTAAAAGTCCTCTCCAGAACTCCATTTCAATTAATTCAACACTCTATTTCAAAACAGCATAAGTCCATGGCTAGCTGCCATCATGTGCCTAAAGGCAACGGGTTTGAATGAATAAATGAGGTGTGAGCAAGTGAGGAACGTGGCCACGTAAAAGCCGGGGTTGTTTGTTCTTGGAGTGCACCTGCAAATGTGCAAAATGCGGTGCCAAAATCATACTTGTAGCTTCATGCCTCGTTTTTTCTGATGGTCAGATGGTTTCTTGTACTGACCTGAAAGATGCCCAAGGAGATCAGAGGATAGCCCCACTCGCTGCTGTGTGGTTTGAGATCAGCCTTGCTGAGTGCAGGAATACAGAGCCCCGTGTGTCCACTTGGATCACAGGGTGACAGAACCTACGTCCCTTTCCATAGAACAGGGGAATGGTCTCCATCCTACTGAAACAGTAGTGCTGGCTATCGAGTGTCCATTATTTTTATTGGCAGACAATAGTGGATCTTTAAATCTCTGTTCATATTCTAAGATTTCGTTCATTTTTCTGGGTGAAGCAGGAACCAGTGTAACTAGCAGAGAGTTTGTTTCTTGTTTGTGCTTCTCCAAGGATGCTCCTCGCTAGCCCATGCCAAAGAATAGGTGTTTCCTAAGGTTTGATTGTTTGTCTCCTGCCTCTTAATGAGCAAATCCATTACTTCACTCAATTCCCTGAAGTCCAGACACAATTATGTTGTGGATGTTGCTCTGACAGATCTCACAAAGCTTTTGGCACCCAGCAAAAGCCTGTATGTTAGGAACAAGGGTACACTGAACTTTCTCACTAGGAGAGAAATCAATAGGTTTAGGCCACCTAAGCTCTGGAGCAGCCTCCTGACCAGGTTTTGTCTGTCAGGCAGTGTGAATCTCGGCCTCAGAGCAGTAGCGTGGTTGTTTTTGTATAGCTGAGAAGGTCAAAGTTTCTCCTGTGAAACCAATGGTACTTATAATACCTCACATGCAAAAACAAAAATATTCATAAGGACCGTTAGCTAACAAATTAGCAGTAGGGCATTTCTCACTCCCTTTCTAAAGTTATGCTGGAAAAGCTATAAGGTTACCTCAGCAAAGGTGTGTTTTCTCCTGTCTTTCTGCATTTTTTGATTCCTACTATTTTTCTCCCTCTAAGAAGCAGAAAGGTTTTAAGAAAAGACCTGAATTTACACAGGCAGATCTCTCTGTTAGTTGCTGTCCTAAGGGATTGAAAAATTTGAAGTTTGAAAGCAGCTTAAGTCTTTTGCTCTGGAGTGTAATTCCTTGGACACTGAATGCTGATAAGAGGCAGTTCTTGTATTCAGCTGATTACCGTGCTAACACTTCAAGCTAATCAGATGATATGTAATCCTTTACTCTGGGATTACTGGGACCACAGCTGACTCTTAACATTGTAGTGCACCACAGTCCTCACTTCTTCTCTTTCCTTCCTTAATGCTCTTGTCTCATCCTGGTATTTATCCAAAATCTGTCGAACTGCACGTGCTTCCCAGAGGACACTGTGGAATGAGTCAAATCATGTCACCAAGAGAAAAGGCTCTTTTACAGTCCCATTCATCAGCCTTCCTTGTATTTAGCAGCACTTTAGTCTCAGCTTCCAGCTCCTTCCTCTCCAGCCTCCGTCTTCAAAGGGAGGGATCCAGTCTCAGGCCCAAGTCCAGTGTCTGTGTTTGCAGAGCTTGTGCAGAACTGGGGCTCAGGTAGACCTGGCTGGTCTGGCAGAGGCTAGGTGGGAAGGTTCAACACCCCCCTCCAGAAATTTGGCCAGTAGAGGCCAGAGAAAGGATGCTCACATTGACCTGGGACGTAAGGAGGTGCAGAACAGAGGAGCTGCACAACTGCTGAGGGAGAAGCAGGGGCTGATCTCGGCAGCCTTAAGGCTTGCACATGTTTCCAAACCTTTTGAAGTCTGTCCTGACTCCACTGATCAGCCTCGCTGAATGCGGGCACTGGGTTGCAGGGAAGAGTGGGATAAAAACTTTCTTTATTCCTGAGATGTGCACGCATATCTTTTGCAGTCATGTGTGTCTGGGGCAGCGTTTCGGAGAGCTGTGTGACCTTTTAGTCTTTATTTAATCTCAGATGCAGGAATAGGTAGAGGTGCTCAGCCCCAGGCTTGCCAAATACAGCTTGGGAGGAAATGAGGCTGGGCCTGAAGTGATTTCAAAAGTTCGCTCGGTAGCTGTTGTGCTGCAGATGTAAGAGCAGTTCTGTCTTTTCAGGGCTGTTCTCAGCTGCACTGTTACGGGCAGAGGTGTGGCTGTGGCCCACATGTGGCCCTTCCCCTGGAACAGTTCCAAGCCTTTCTGACAAAGAAAACTTCAAACAAACGCTGACGTCCGACGACATTTCTAGATAGGAGAGGTGGGAGTGTACCTACGTGGCTGCTGGCTTGAGGGAGGCTCTGGAAGCCTGGTCGTTTGACTTAGCCTTTCTTTAGTAGGCAAATAGCAGAGTTAATTGCTTGCTTTGGCAAGTGCAGCAGCAGCTTTTAGCTGAGCTCTGCAGTATGGGTCACTGGTATGGGCATAACTGCTTCTTTCCTACACTGAACGTGTTGGCACCCAGTGTGTCCACCGTCTTAATGACCTTTAAATTCACCTCACTCTTCCAATTCTTTCTCCACTCCATTGACACGATACTGCTCCTTTTTGAACATCTGCCTTCCCTTCAGTAGTGACCTTAGCTTTGGGTCTGTGCCTGCCTTCCTCCCTGATGCACTAAAACGTCACATTGGTGTCTTCAGCTTCAGCCAGCATTTCTACTTCTTGCTAGGCTTTCTTTCTGCATTTTCCTGGATATTTCTCTGAGCGTCTAGGCGAACAGAGCTTTTCCAGTTTGACTGTTTGCCTTCCACCAAGCGAGTGTGTAGGAGAGCCCTTCCAAATTTGAGTAACCTGAGTGTATGGTGGGGTATGGTGCTTCTCTTCAGTAGGAGCAGCATATTCTTAGAAGAATGTTATCTCTAGAGGGGAAAACGGCATGTTTTTCAAGGTGCTTTATTTTTATTGTACTTAATGGCAGGCCATATTTCTTCACACAGGTATGTACCTATTGGCATTATGTTCCTTGTTGGGAGCAAGATCGTGGAAATGGAAGATATTGTGCTCCTGGTGACCAGCCTGGGAAAATACATCTTCGCCTCTATTCTGGGCCACTTCATCCATGGAGGAATCATTCTGCCGCTCATTTATTTTGCATCCACACGTCAAAATCCATACCGTTTTCTCTTAGGACTTATCACACCGTTTGCCACTGCCTTTGCCACTTGCTCTAGGTGGGTTTCCATGCGTCTTCTGGGACTATAGACCAATTGTGTTAGTGGCTGCAAGCTGGTTATATCCTAACACCAAATTGTGTTGAGTTTGGGGTGAAAATACTGCTCCTGGGATTGCAAAAAGAGGCTACTGAGCACAGGGAGTCACACTGTTGTCAGCAGCCCATTGCACAGGAAATACTGATAATTAGCTGTTGAAAACAATTCCTCAAGATACTGGGAATGTAACATTATGCTGAGTTGGAAATTCTGGGGGGAAAAGGTGAAAGTATTTACCTTAAAAAGATCTTGCCAGCTGTCCTTTCAATTTTAGGCAAAGTGAGCATCAGTAGTGAGGGACTTCGTCCCACGATGTTTAGTTATCCAAGTTCAGCAGGATCTAGAACAACTGTAGACTGATTTTGCAGGGGTAAAGCAGATTTATTAGCTAGAGTAAAGTGACTTAGCGTTCTTGATTTCAAAGCTCTGGCCTGAACAGCTTTTATTTGTCGTAACCAAAGTTTGCCAATTTATTGAGCATGTCATTTACATTTTTCCCAAGGGGCAAGCTCCTGATCAAAGATCATAACTAAATAAAACCACTTCGGGTCATCTCCAAAAGGAGTAGATGCGTGACTGTCACAGGAGCTCAGTTAAACACAAAGTAGGAGAGAGTTTATGAATGAAACCTTACAGTTTATAATGCAAGAAGTAAGTCCAGCAGTGTTTTTTGATGTGTCGGTTCATTTGAGAAAGTAATAGTGCAGCAGGTTTTGAGACCTTATCATTCCACTGCGCTATTATGCCTCATATTGAGTCAGGTCATGAGTTCTTGCGTCTTGGAGGTTGAGTCCTTACCAGCTATTTCTGGATGGAAGATATTTAAATATTATTATTTAAATAGGCAGATTATTAAATATTGTAGCTCAGGGCCAACAAGGAGGGACATTGCTGTCATGACAGAGAGGGACTACAAAATGGCATCATCTTCTTGACAGTCTGTTCTGCAGCGTGTTAGAAATATGATAGTCATGAGACAGCGACTTGCCATTCAGTGCACCCTGATGCTTTGTGTTTGATTTTTTTTTTCCCTTTTCTGTGTTTCTAGCTCAGCCACTCTCCCGTCAATGATTAAGTGTATCGAGGAAAACAATGGAGTCGACCACAGGATCAGCAGGTTTATCCTTCCTATCGGTGCAACTGTGAACATGGATGGAGCTGCTATTTTTCAGTGCATGGCAGCCGTGTTCATTGCTCAGCTGAACAATGTTGACCTCAATGCTGGGCAAATCTTCACTATTCTGTAAGTTGCTTGCTATTGTAACCACATCCTTCTGGCCCCCAGACACATTAAAGCCTGTGGTCTCCCTGTTAATAGCTAGCAGTTTGCATTCCACATCTCTGACTTCAAGCTAGCAAACTGCTATGAGACATAATTATAGGGTCATTAAAGAACAGAATCTTTCAAGCTTTAGAAGATTGGCTAGAATCTCTATTTAATAAAAGGTGGGACCTGGGAGGAGTAACTGAATTATGAAACAGTCTTTGAGCTGTTTAAAGCTGTTCCTCGCATCAAATTTGTCTCCTTCTTTAAGGATCAACTTTAACTCCATTTGCTGTTACGCTGAATAACTGTGGCATGCTGCTCTAAGCAGAAAGCTACCCCATATTTACCCTCTGAATATCCTAGAAAATCCTCCAGCCAGCTTCTCAGTTCCTTTTGTATCAATTTCATACTGAAGACTGTTCTTGTTTACCTCTGCCCTTCTTAACATCACATCACTGGTTTCCCAGGTCAGATAATGATCATTCCCCTCCTGATTGTTATGCTTTTCCTCGTTATCTCCTCTACCACCTCAGTCCTGCCTCCTTGTCTGGGACTCTCTCCTCTCCATGCCTAGAACACCCTCCCAGGTCCCATATCCTGTGAAGTGTCGTTCTCTTCAATTCCCTCCCCCAAATCCCTGAAGTGAGTATCCTAGGAGCTCTAGCCCCTCACTGTGCCGAGAATCCATAAGCTGTATCTACCAGATACCTCTTAGGACCTTGCATTTTTTACCCTTCCTGGCCAGGTTTTATTTCCTTCCTTACTGCATTTCTCAGTATATTGTTTGTCTATTTAAGGCAGGGCTGGGGCATTATTTTCCTTGCAGATGGCAAAATTAGCCTTTCAGGCGTTAACACAGGCCTGAGGACTACGCAATAATAGCCCGAGGAAAATACAACTGTAGACATCTGCAAACAAAAAGGTGCAGGATCCATGTCCACTAGCACATGCACTACTTTCAGGTCTGTTTGGATGCAAGCAAAACACAGAGCAGGGATAGTGCCATTAGCATGTGTCTATGAACAGCATACTCAGACTTTTGAGATGAAGTCTTAAAGCACATTAGTCCTACACAGCAGTCAGCCTGGGTTTTGAAGTCTTGGTCAGAGCTAATTAGCTTCGGCATTGCCCTACCTTGATGGTGCTGCTCCCTGTTGTGGAGCAAGCTTCCTCTGTACCCTTTTCAGTGCATGGCACGGTTTACCTTTTTGTATTTTGGGCCAGAAGATAAAATGTGTTCGGTATCTTTGAACCAATACATGACTTGGAAATAGATGTAATAGTAAGGCAGTGGGAAATAGCTCAGGTTTTGTTTTTCCCCCCAAAAAAGGCAATGATAGTGTTAAAAACAGAACCATTACCTTGGTAGCTGCTGCAGATGCCTGCTGAGCAACTGTACTCTATCCCCATTACAACGCATCAACAAGCAGGAAGGGGTTTGCCTGGGAAGCAAACGATCTGCGTGTCCTTGCTGTAGTCTTTGTTTACAATTGCTCTAGCGGGGAAATGTGTGCTGTAATGCTAACCAGAAACACCAATTGGTTTGCAGCGTGACAGCAACTGCGTCCAGCGTGGGTGCAGCCGGGGTCCCAGCCGGAGGAGTCCTCACCATCGCTATTATCTTGGAGGCCATTGGACTTCCGACCAACGATCTGTCTTTGATATTAGCAGTGGACTGGATTGTGTAAGTACTTCAGGCCACATGTGTGTGCTGTTGCATGACACGTAGCGTTTTCAGCTGGAAATATGGCTCAGGGTAGTCAAAGTAGTGCAGTATAAAATAAAACTTGACCAGATGTGGCTGGGAACTCATGACAGGTGATGAAGAATGATGGAAAAGGCAGCCCCTTCTCAGTTAAAGCAGTTAGAATGCTACAATCCCTCTTCTGCTTTTTTACTGAGCCCTTAATGAAACATATTTCACCCTGGTTTCAGTTCCCCCAAGAAGAATTGTTAAAAGTTTGTTCAAGAAGGTATTGACACTGCTGGGAATTAGTTAGACACTGGAAGGGGAGGAGGAAAAAGGAAATTGAATCTGAACAGTGGTGGAAAGCTTTCTCAGCCATATGTGTGCCGCAGTCTTCATCAGAAGCTGTTGCCAGCTATTGTTTGAAGTATAAAAGCAAGACGGATCAAAACACCGACACAGGCATCACAGAGAGCTGCCGTCCATTGGCAGGGCAGGCACACAGAGGCCTTGCAGCATTCATCACAAATGTGGGCATTGTCACAGCTGGAACGTGCTGCTGGGAATCACAAGTTTACCACACGGTATTATCAGCTTTCCCTTCCATCTTCTGTGAAAGACCTAAGAGGTCAGACCTTTGCTCAGCTCCTTCTCTCCTTTCCAAGAGCTGTTTCCCTCCTTGAAACATGAGAGATGATCTCCTTGCCCAGCTCTGTTGGGAAGAGCTTATCTCACCACTGATGTAGTTATGTCCTCATTAAAACCTTAATTTATCTTTTGTCCCACCTAAATTAGATTAAGCCTAGAAAATTTGCTTTAAGTACTGGGGACCCAGCCACGAGTCACATGATAAAAGTAAATGCCACATGCAGATGTTTTCTTATTGCTTAAATGAGCTCTTGGAAGAGGGTTTCCCTGCTTTTCTTCTCAAACAAGCCCGTCTGTCTGCAGTCCTTAGAAGTACTAGAAAATCAGGAGTTTTTAGAATACTAGAAAAAATCAAACTGAAAGGGCTTCTCTGAGCACTTAGGATTTACAACATGCCTGCACTTTACATACTAGTGCAATAAGCCCAATGTGATAATTTAAAAGCATAAACTGCTCTCAAGCCAGCTGGTTGAAGTCGGGTAGTGCTGAACCACTGGCCAGTAAAGGTAAAGCAATCTGGATCCCACTGGGATTTTTTCCACTCAACAGGTTTGGGAACAGTTCTTGGTTTAGATGTACATAGTCTTTCCCCACTGCAGTTTGGAAACAGCAGCCTCTCTATACAGATGGCCTGCTTCCACGGAAGATGTGGAAATTTGGATGTCTGAGGACGGTCTTGAGTTGCCAAGGCTGGGGAAGAAGGCAGCTGTATTGCCTCCTTCCTTTCACACACCAACACACATCTATGGAGCTCGATCTTGCTCCTGCATTTTTGTTAGGGCTACTGAACTCTCTTGCTGTCACGACCTGTGGACCAGCCACCTCCAAAGGACAGGAGAGGCAGGCAAAGCACTGGCTGGCCCTTCGTGTCTCATCTCCCGAGGGATTACAGTGGTAGCTGTGCTTTCCACAAGCTGTACTTGGAACTGCCTGGAGGCACGAGCGTAAAACTTGCTGTTCCTTTCTCACTGGGCTACCCTTAGCCTGTGTCACGCTGGCTGCTTTTGTTTCAAAATACGTAGTATCCCTCTGTGGTCAACACTGTTGTTCCAGCTGAGGAATTCAGCCTTGTGGTAAGAAAAGCAGGGAGGAGGGACGGAAGAGCCCTGTATCTCGTTTTAATGCCAGCTGTTTAATTACCAAAGAAGACCACAGTTACAAGTTAAGCACATGCTGAAGTAATGCTGCAGAATTACTAATGGAAATCTCAAAAGGCACTGGAGAAATTGGTTTTTTTGAGTCATAAACATCTTCTGTTTGACCCCGAGACACAGTGGTTTTGTGCTGTAGGACTGAAGATAGGACAGGTGCTGCTAGCAAGAAACCTAGAGAACCCAGTCATTCTGCCTGCCTTTGGAAGGACACCTTATGTACATGTTTGGGCTAAGATGTCTTTCTATGGTTAAAAACAAAGTTGTGTGCTCCAAAGCACTTTCTGAATAAGCCTAAATCAAGTTCCTGCTCTGAACTTGCACTGGAAACCTGCTGGCCCGGGGAAGGGTGGAAAAAGAAAGACATCTGAGAAACAGCAGCAGCATTGCTGCGACCTGCTGAGAGACAGAACTAGTTGACAGTAACAGTTGGGCCTGCCTTGAACCCTCTCCTGTGCACGTTTTTAGTTCTGAAATGGCGATAATATTTCTGTGGAAAATACCTACGGTAACAACATCTCCCATCTCTAGCTCCATTAATGTCAGTGGATCTGGGGAGATGAATTTGGCTCTCCTTACGGTGTTGTAACTCTTAAACTAAAAGGCCACTGCTTTGTTTTCTTGTTTTTAATCTTAACCAGGGACCGAACCACCACAGTTGTGAACGTGGAAGGGGACGCCCTAGGAGCAGGTATCCTCAATTACCTGAATGAAAAAGACAAGAAAGAAAAAGAGCAGGAGCTAAAAGAAGTCAGCGTAGAAGCAGTTGCTAACAGCAAGTCTGAAGAGGAGACGTCGCCGTTGGTAACCCACAAAAACCAAGTCTCCAACGCAACCAGTACAGCAGACCCTGAATCCAAGGAATCAGTATTGTGAACTAGAGGCCGTTTGTTAACACACGTCCTAGAAGTGGACCGGGGACTTGTTAACGCACCTAGACGTTTGCAGTGCTAACAAGGGCTGGATGGCTCTTGAAAGTTTTCAGTTCCAGTCTGTTTTGAAATTTGCTGACCACGGGAAGGGGAGGGAGGTGGGTTGGGGAGAGAAGGGGCAGCGAAAAAGAACGCTGGCTTTATAATAGTGTTTTGGTAATTCCCACGTGTACATGTATATATGTGTTGCATGGACACACACATATACATGTAGGGGAAAGCAATGCCATTTGAGACCTGTTTTTACAAGAGATCTGTTAGTAAAGGCCCTAATGAGTTGGAGGTGGGGAATTAGGCAAATCCCAATAAGTGCTTATTGTAGGGAGAAATTAGTAAGCTTATTGTGCTGCTGTTCAAATGGAGATGCAGTTTAGAAACTCCAGAGTGGGTGAGAATGTTGCTTTAATTTAGTTTCTTGCCTGGAAACACTTACTGTCAATTACACACGGAATATGAAGCAACATTTTTCTCCCACTCCGCTTCCTCTCCTGTTCTCCAGTCACTTGAAAATGTCAAATAGAACCTGGAAAGTAGCTTTTTCTTTTTTTCTTTTTTTTTTTTTTTCAAAGTGTCATATCTGAATTAATCACAAGGGTCCAAACCTTGTTCCATTCCCCCGCTGCATTGCAGCTCATAGCAGCTTTCTTGCCTTTTGGTGAGTAATTCCCACATTTTGGAACCAAACGAAGGATATCTTAGAGCAGATCAGGAACTGGTTTTCTCCTCCCCTCTTAGCAAGCTGTTGAGAAAAAAGTCCAGAGGAAGCACGAATTTTGTTAAAGTAATCCCTCTGGGGCTTGAAAAATGTGGAGTCCATTCCAGCATAAATATGTCTAAAAGAGGCTTGCCTGTGACATTAAGAAAGCAAGAAGTCAGTTCCCTTCATGAAAACACACATGCACCTTTGCTAGCACTCCATGTCCTGCTCATGTTTGTTTAATGGGTCAGTCCAAACAAATTAAGCCATATCCCTTTTCCGGCAAAATTGAACAGGGGAGAAAAAAATCTGAACACATGTGGGAACTGACGACAGGCAGGTCTGATTGTTGGCTTGAAAGGGGAAGAAAGGAGGTGAGTTTCTAACCTCAGTGATCTCTGGAGCAGTTGCATACCTGTTCCTGCCAGGAATTTGGTCCTGCTACAAATGTTCAGTGATCTCTGAGTGTTAGGACAGTTGTGTACCTGATCCTGCCAGGAATTTGGTCCTGTTACAAACGTTCAGTGATCTTTGAGCATTAGGACAGTTGTATACCTGATCCTGCTAGAAGTTCGGTCCTGTTACAATGTTCTTCCAGCAGCAGCTTACATTTACTTCTGGGTGGTGCTGGGCAGGGGTAACGCTTAATGGCAGATGGTAAACTTTGCTTGAAGCTGATCCAGATGCTTCTGGATTCTGACTCCACCTTTTTTCCTTTACCACAAACTTCCTGATTTTGCACCCCAAACCTGATCAAAGTCCGGCAAACATTGCAAAGGTCCTGTTGATTTCTCTTGGCATTTTGGACAGCAAGTAGTTACAAAATGATGGCTGTGCATACGCCAAGATTTGCCTGGACTTGTGACACTTTCCTTTGGCTGCTTTAGCAAGATGAGTGCATGTGGTCAGTCCTCCACACTGTTAACTCAGTAATATATATTTACACTTAGCTTTGATGTACAATAATGATAAGTCTCCCCTTTTCTTTCTCCTCTCTTGCTTCAGAGGAAGCTATCTTGGAAAGATACCCAGTTGCTGATGTTTATGTTCACGGAACTAGGAAGAGGCAGCTCCAATTTTATAGCAGCAGCAGCCTTCATTTGCAAAGCACCTTTCCTGGTAAAGGGACACAATGAATTTTGCAAAAAGATGCTCAGAATGAGATGTGGCCACCTCTGAGGGATGACACAGTGAGTGCGTCACGACTGGCTGTTTAACCGTGTGCTGCAGAACTATGCAAACAAAGTAAGAAAGGATTAGTCAGCCCACTGTGAAACTACAGGTGAAGTTTCTTTTTAACCAGCTTATTTATAGCCATGTCCGCAAAGTCTGATCAATCCTTGGCTCAATTTAAAAATGGAAGAAGACAAACACAACTCTCTAGGGACATCCTTTGGCCAATATTTATTATTTCATTTTCAGCAGATCAAGACCTGCTGAAACTTTGCATTTCCTCCCATTAGAATCATCCGAACTCCTTTTAACTCAGGAAACTAAAAGCATGCTTTGTAGCTGACAATGAAAGTCAACAAATAAGAAGTGTTTTGAAAAATGTTTGAAAAAATGGTTGTGTGTTACACTCCTCCCCTCCCCCCCCCTTTTTTTAACAAGTCTAAATGTTTCATGGAAAAATGTGAATGCACCAGAACTGCAAATATTTTGATTCTGAAACAGTATATGGATGCTTCAGGAGAACTGGAAATCAAAACTGTTCCCTGCAGGCTGGGTTCTGTAGATGCATTTCTATCTCCCATCAGACATTTAGCTCCTTTGATGCTCTCCCTCACCATGACACATTCAGCTCAGCTGAAGACATGAGACCAGGCAGCACCCAAACAGTAAGTCCTGTGAAGCGTCACGGCAACATTTGAGAATAGGAAGTTGCTCAGTTTTGATTTTTCACCCCAGAGCTAATGTTGCCAACAGATGAAAGTACTTTAGGGGTGAGTGAAGGCTGGGTGTCCTCACAGACAACACCTAGCCACTGCTTTATTGATCTTCCTTCCCTGTGGTGCTGCTTGATTGTACCCTGTTCCTCCAAGCAGTGTGATGTAGGCTGTGGGGCATTCTTTCTGGCAATAGATCCCAGAAAATGGTTAAATTAATGCCAATTATCTCAGAGCTGTCTTAATCTTTTCCACTAGCAATGCACAAGCTAAATGTCTTTGCTGAAGAATGCCTCTCTGAGTCCCCATTACCAGATTGCCATGTTTTGCATCAAGGCGAATGTCTAGACCTGTGTAAAGCTTGTTAGAGCAGTCAGCTTTAAGGAGGCCGAATCATTCCTATAGCTGGAATTTAACAAAGGAAATTTAATACTTTTCCTCCTGGAAGCAGGTGCCATAGGATTTATATGAACCATTAAGTATTTAGGACCAGTCTTTTATCTTGCCAGAAATTTGTAATCTTGCAGAAGTCCTACTTTAGATTTAGAAAGCTGCCAGTTCTTTTGTTGTTTGCACACAGCAAGAGGGATCCCAGAGTTTTCTGTGCAAGCGTGAATGCTGGGTAATGACTGCTTTTCCAAATATCTTCTTGGTCTTTTTTGTTATTATCCGTGTCAGAAATTATATTTCTTATTTTTCTGTGATGTTACCATTCCTTGCGATGGCCTTGTCATATCTCCTAGGGCTCTCTGCTTGGCTTCAGATTATTTTTTCCTAAGGTACAAATGTAAAAGATCTGTTATTGCACTCTCTTGGACTGTAAAAAAAAATAATTGACACATTCCAACAGCTGCCCCTGTAACAGTGTGAGTCCTGACTGAGATGGGAGACTTCGCCACTTGCTTTAAGTGGCCAGGGTCTTCAGGTAAGGTCTCTGGGAGAAAAATGGAAGGGCTGTTGGAGGACGTGCATTTTTCTGCTCTCTTTAGATGCAGTCCTCGACCCGCAGCGCTACGCCATGAGCTTCCTACTTCAGGTCCCCATGCGGCCTCATACCATGAGGCTGTGAGCTGGCTAAGAAGGTGCTCAGCAGCAGTGCAGGTGCAGCTGGTGGCACCTGCTCTGCTCTTACCCAGGCACTCCACAAATCTGTCCAAGTATGGTACTTCAGTGTCTTTTGAGCGGATGTATGAATTCTCCCAACTTGACTGTAAAAGTGAATCCCTTAGTGAGTTGCTTTTTATTTCAAAAGGAAATAAATTCCATCTAGATAATGCTGGTTTTCTTGCTTGGTTTTAGTCTTTTGGAAAGTACAAATCCTTCTTATCCCTTCTGGTGTTTTCTTTAAGGTATTCACAACTGGGAGCTGCCATTGCCTTTCCTGCCACAATTTGTTTTCATTTCATTTTTAGGCTTCTGATGGCTTTGTGTCTGGGGTCGAAGAGTGAATTCCTACTGGTATTTTTCCTTTTTAAGAGCTGTTTCTCACAAGGGGAGCTCCGGTCACATCCTTTCAATTCAAGAGGAGTATTGGAGGCACCTCCTTGTATATACATCATTTATTACCATGATGGAGGCTTTCATGCTGCGCTGGTGCAATGGGATTGGAAAATAATAATAAATTCTAGTATTACTGGTCAGAAAAGGGAGGGTGCACATACATAGCAGCCCTGTGATCAGAAAAGCCTCTTCATCTTAGGAAAGCAGGCTGATAAATGGCTGATGCCCAACCCTCTAATGCCATGATTGCTTTTTAGGAGAAAAATACAGGAATATGGAAGAGAAGTGTTTGCAAGCCTTTGGCATACCCAGTGCTTTTTTCATTCTGACCCTGTTCTTTCCCTTTTACCTTCGCTTTTTTTAAGTGAAGTGCCTTTGACTGGCTTGGACCATCTTTTATTTCTTCTCTGGGACAGAATTTCCACTCCGTGCTTTATCAGTCACTACTTCATCTCACTGCATTTTCTGAAATGCCCTAAGCTTTTCTGTGTGTGATGGATGTAGTTTTCAGCTGGTCCATGGGAATGTCTTTTGCATTCTGCCTTGCTCCACCTGCCCTTACCTCAGCAAGGATTTGTGAGGCTTAGTTACTGTTTAAGAGTTGCTCAGAGAGTGCTGGGCAGCATCTGTCTCACCCTGGGAAAGGTTCTGTGCTATGATATGGCTGCCTGACAAGCAGTAGTGAGCAATGAAGGGTGCCAGCACTTGGCTGCTGTTAGAATATTTTCAGTAAACACCCATTATCACCAGGAATTGAGCTTTAGCTGAGTCCCTGCTAGCACGTTGGTAGTTGCACTGCAAGATTCAGTAATTCCAAAGGGCAGTGCCAGAGTTAAACACGATCCAGTGCTAACCATTCTTAGATTACTTCTCTTGTGTGTGCTTTAATACTTTACAGTAGAAATAATGAAAGCTGAGACTATTCGTTGTTGAAACGAGAGCTTCCTCTTTCAGCTCTGCATATGTTGGAGGTTGCCTCCTTGTGGGCTTGCCTAAGGTACAAAGCCACTGCTTCTTTCTGCACAGATCTGTAGTGTTGGTCAACACTTTGGGCTGAATCTTCACTCCCATCTTCTGCTAGCACCGCACATTTTTTCAGTCCCTAGAAAACGTCCTTCTGGTGGAAGTCATTTTTTCCCTGACCCTTCCACAGGTCATGAGCAACGTGCTTGAGGTAGGAAGTCGAGGGGTCAAAAGACAAGCTCTCGCCAAAGAAAAACGTCACATTTTCAGGAATTTTGACTGGGCTATGGCAGCTTACAGTCACTTCCAGACGTGCTTGTAATGGCTGATCCTGTGACTGATGGAACAGCACAGAATTAGGCAGGTCACACAAATTCTCTGCCTGTGCTTCCTTTTCTGTAAATTAGCTTTACAGATACTTACCAGTCTCTCACAGGCAATGATGTGGAGGATAGTGTAAAGCACTCTTAAGATAAAGCGCACTAAATCTTGGATAATAATAAATTTATCCAAAATCGGAAAGAAATCAAATAATTAAAGTATTCATCATGAAGTCAGAGCTGCATTGTGCTAAAATGTGAACGACTGCCTGACAGGAGATCCATTTGCTGGGCTAACTCATGGGAAGAGTGGGAGCTGGAGTCAGATCAAGTTGCTCTGCTTTGTCTTCCTCCTTCCATCTCCATCCAGGATGCCATGAAAGCCCACATTTAGGTAAAACAACAGGCCTCTCCATGGATTTAACACCTAAATTAAGAGCCTTGTCAACTTAGTTTTTATCTAGCTTCAATGGAAGAGCTTTTCAGCTAACAAGACAAGTGATCTCGGTGGCGGTTTGGGAGAAAAGGTGGAGAAAAAGAAGATCTTGAGGATTGGAGGCAGAGCATCACAAAGGATAGGGCAGTTAAAAGTTCAAAGAAGCTATGGCACTGAAGGAAGCATCTTTTCCTTGGCATTTTGATATGGATGGCAACAGAAAAGACTGCAGGCATTTGTTCAGCATGTATTAGAGACGATGCACATCCCTGCCCCCTGACTGGCGAGGCTTTGCAAGGGGAGGCAGAGGCTGAGTGCTGATATTTCCGAAGCACACTGTCACTGAGCAACAGCTACACGTACAGCAGAGCAGCGTGGGGCTCTGATAAGCTGCTCCTGGCTGCTCGCCGTGACCACAGAGAAATGACAGCACAGCTCTGGATCAGGGATTGACCCACATTCCTCCCCGCACAGTAGCTGAGACAAATTCTCTTCAGATAAATGCATGGTAGCCATTATTCTCTGAGGACAAAGACGAGCTTGTTGTTATCTACATGAGCGTATTGATGAAAGCCGTGCTCACTTGCTGCGCCTGTTTCAGGGAGGAAGGAAACGGATAGGGCAAATGCTCTTAAACTTTTTCCAAACATTAGGCAATGCATCGAGACAATTGCCCCTGGAATACTTGCACAAAAAGTGATCAAGAGCTTTATAGGACTCCCATAGCTTTCTGTCTTTGCATCTGAAGCATCATCCTAGGAAGTTAATTTCACAGCTCTAGCAGTGAATATGCGCAGAAAAAAGGAAAAGGATGATTTCTTGAATCTCATGAAGAATCATCAGGTGGGCTAGGAGCAGACCTCGAATCCCAAAGAGCTGTTGGTAGCTAGCAAACTTCACCCCCCTAAAGAAGTTAACATCTGAGGGTTTATAAATACATTTGAGTATTGATACCATGATCACTCATCTTTTAGGGAGGATGAAAGACAAGAAATGTAGGAGTAGGAGGGTTATCTTCTCTCTAGGGTGGATTCTTTAATATAGAAAGGAAAAGCTTTTTCATTCAAGAGTTCACAGCATGGTCCTTAAGGGCCTGATTCTATCTCAGTGTCAGCAGACATATCATCCTCATCACCTGTGAAATCTCATTTGGATTTAACCACTGATCTTAGCGGCAGCAGGAGGTGATGGCTCTGAACGTTTGAGCAGGCCAGCTGCTCTGACTCAGTGTCCCACCCAACAGACTTTTTGCAGCCAAGGCTGCTAGTTCCCACAAGGCCACAGATGCTGTTTGCAAGGCAAGCAGGCATACCAACAAGAACCAGCACGAGGCAATGAATTTTGAGCCAACCCTGTTGTAATGCAAAGTTAACGGTGTGGTTTAAAGCCACAGCGACCGAGAAATTCAGTGTTAGATGTTCCTTAAGGTGGCTTTCACTTGGTCCTTCTGATAACAACACTGAGAAAAACAATCAGCTTCTTTGCAGACATGTATTTAGTAACCGAGGTTAAACTGTGTGTGGTGTGTTGGTACAACTTGATTTCTGTTACACATTGCACAAAGAAATTGAGAAGGGAAATCTTTTCTTAAGGAAACTGTTTGCACATGGCCTGAAACCCCTGCTGTACATTCCCATAGAAGAAAAAAAATGTGCTTAACCATAAAAATACCCCAAGTATTAACTGGTACAGATGGCAGCTTTTTAAGAACCCAAAGGAATGCCACAAAATACACGAGCCAGGGCCTTTGCTAGCGTGCATTAACGTAATTTCATGAGCTTTCAGTGGCCTATGGACTTCTGATGGGGATGATACCTCCCCAGCAGCAAAGGGGTTTGAGTTGGTCCTCTTAAGAAGATAATGTTCTTGAAAGTGCCCAATAAAGGGACATTTTTAATACTTGCTGGCTACAGCTAGAGGCATTTTATGTGCTCACAGTACTCTCATGAATTTCTGCCTCACACAAGAAAAATGTGTTTTCTAGATGGTCAGTGCTGATGCAGAATCAAGGCTTCCTGATATTCGGATCAGTTTTCCATCTCTGTGTCCCTCTTGCAGGGTCTGCTGCAGTCTTTAAAATCTGCAGAGACCCCAGCAGGACCAGGCTTCTATAGCACATGGATTAAACTTAAAGATATTCTAGCTCCACGTGAGGACATAGATGGTCTCACATCCTGTTATTGAGGGGACAAAGACAAAGATTCAACTTCAGAGGAGGAGCTGGGCCGAAAAAAAACAAACAACCCTATGTGAAGGCAATACCTTAGTCACATTTTGCACTTAATAACTCAAAAACTTGTGACCAACCTAGCCCTTACTGCCTCCTTGGTCTGCCCCACAATGCATGTTCTGTTGGCCTTGCTTTCCTGAGCACCAATGTAGAGGTAATGTTTGCCATTCCTCAATATTCCAGTCTTTGAAGAATGTAGTCTTATTTAGGCTTAAATCTGTTGCTATCCTGGCTGCACTTCTGTAAGGTCATGCACAAAGCGTGTGCTGTGCAGGATGAAGACTGTGAGTAGCAGTACAAATAACCGTGTGTACCTCTGCTAAGGGGAGATGTGCCTCGTTTTCAAAGCAAAGAGGAATTGCTGCTTCTTTGTGGTAAACTGAGACTGACTCACTCACACTTGGGGAGGAGGAAGGTTTGGATTAGCCCTCTAGATTCAGGGACAGCAGGACCACCGCTAAGACACGAGGTGCCTCCTTCTGCCGCAGAGGTACGCGATCTGCCTTACTACCCTTACAGGTGCCTTGTTTGGGTTTTTATTGAAACTATGCACCAAAGGCAAGAGACTCTGTTGTCCCTGCAGACAGGAGGGAGAACAAGATGTCCTGATGTGAGACGAAAGCCTAGTCTGTAAGACAGGGAAAGTGGGTTTCTTTTATCCTCTAAGTTTTCTGTCAGCAGTCCTGCCTCTGATGTGCATATGTATGTGTGTGCTTTTATTTCTACATGAACACAAATCGCTCTAATTAGAAGGGAGGATCCTTGTATTTTTATATGCTAAGCCATTTGATTAATTACTTTAATAAAGTGACACACGGATGAACTCTGAAATTCACTGCCATCTGCTCCAGTACAATCCAAATTGACAGATACAAAGGTACCTGCCTTCAGATAAAACCTCGTGCTGAATGCACGTAGAGCAACCACTCCATTCAATGAGTACGTGTGCCATGTGGGTGTGTTGATGCTTGTGAACTTCTCTAACTGTTCCTGTTCTAAAGCAGTGGGTTTGATCCACGTGACTCTGTATCAGCCTTTTTATTATCTACCGAGAACAGATGGATATGCAAAAAGGACCATATTGCTGTGTCTGGGGGGTGTGACCCTGGGGGAGATATTACAGATGTTTACTGTGTAGGGCTCTCCTCGGTGTTAAAATTCTCCCTGCCTGCCTGGGGAGAAGACGGTCCTGTGGTTCAGGTTGAGATGGTTTGCTGCATTAGAAGGGTGACACAATAGGATGCTCTCTCTTTTTCCCTTCTGTCATGGAAATGTATATTTGTTCTCTCTTTGTGTAGCTTCTCAATCTGAAATAAAAATCACCCCAAATAGAATTCATGTTTTGGTCTTTGTTTGGAGAAGACCTGGCTTTTTAGCTGGATCAACGTTTGCCCTAGGTGGCCAGGCCTTTTACTGGACTGGGATCTTGAGCTCCGTGCTGATACCACGACCCGAGCAAACTCTGATTCCACTGGAAATGCCCCTGAATGAAAATTGTGTACCTTGGTGTTTGGGTCCTCTTTGCAAGACCACGACCTTCACTGGCATGCCGATGTCACTGGTTAACTGCCTATCAGTCCATTTACCTCCTTCCCCTGCAGCTCGTGGTGACCTGATGCTAGGTAACATTTCTTCAAGCCGTATGCACAGATACTCAGCTCTAAAGGGTCTTCAGGAAAGCTGGGACTAGTACACAGTTTTTAGAGACGTGCATCATAGTGGGGTACAGGGGCTGACAGACCTGTGGCCTGTTGTGCCAAATGACCAGACTTCATTCTCTGGAGGAGTACTGAGGAGTGGGAGAAATCACGTAGCAAATCCTTTGGGATAGATTGGTATGTTTGGGGTAATTTTGCATTTGGTCCCCATACTCAGTCTGATCAGTGTGATGGTTTCAGAACTGAGGGCCTGGATTTGGAAACAAGTGGTTTTGATACAGCATTTCCATTAAAAGCTTGTATGTAGGGTAGATTTTATACTGAGATGCAGAATATCACAAATCCTGATAAGAATCTACTATATAAGTGTATTTTTGCTAGCTTCAAGCATTAAATTCAGGTCCTGGAACTAAAAAAGAAGGGTGCGAATTCATAAGAATTGCAAGCTCCAGAAGAAAGAAGTGTAATTTGAAGGACCTGTGCATGTGTGATTTACAAATTGTAATGGTATTGTGTTTTGGTATGTTAATTTTATAAATCTATCAATGTGATGTTTTCCAAAAAGCCTATCTGACCTCAGGGTTGTGTCTTTGTCTTCTTGCTTCCCTGCTGAAACCCTAAGGAGATACCTGGAGGAACGCTGCTCAACCAGCGAGCTGCCAGAGGAGTGCTCTCGCACATTAGTTGCTAGCTGTTCAAGTGTCAGCTCTGGATACAGAGATGGCTGCTGCCTGAAACAAGCAGGTTTTCGGAAACTTTCTGAGGTAGGTGGTGATTGTCAGAGCTGTAGTGCCTCACCATTTGAAAGCCATGAACCTTTATGAGACCCATGGAAAAATGTGGAGTGATTGGTTTGTCTTCAATGAGAACCAAGTCAAACACTAGGCTGAGTCCCAGCTGACTCAATCCAGACATTTTTAGAGCTTTAACACTAAACAAAACAGATGAAGTTTTGCATGATATTTCTACCACCACCTGCCAATCTGGCCTCATGCTTTTAAATTTTGAAGTAATTCAATCATTTTTTAAGAAGAGAGCTTTCAGGAAAATGTACTTCACTTTTTCCTTCTAAAAATGAGTGATGGGTTAAAAAGACAGACCACACATTTTAGAAGTTCACACAAAGAAAAACACTTAAAATAAATTTATAACAAAAGCAGCTGCTACTGCTGTAATTGAATATGTAGAGATGAAATCCAATTATGGCCAAGGAGCAGATTAGTTCTTTTATTATTATTATTTTTTTAATCCTCGGCTTGCTTGATTAAGGTAGATATAATTGTAGGGAAGTGCTTTGTGAGTCAGCTAAAAGGTTGAAAGACAACACCATGTTGTTCTGCTATCAAATGACTGGTTTGGGTCTAACAGGTTGCGTGGTACAGCTGTGCTAATAGTCAGGTCACCTTTCAGATATGTGGAGTGATGTTAGGTTGTTGAAAATCAAATCTCTGCTGTCTTCCCATTATGAGCATTCAAGCGAATGTACAAGTACGTTGCACCTCTTGGGAGTCTCGTGTGCTGTGATCTGCATGAAAAGAGCTTGGCAAGTTTACAGCTAACTTGCTGTTCTTGCAAGTTCTTGCATCTTGGATGTGAGAGTAGAGCCACCATGCTAAGGAGGATACCTGTGGTTTTAGACTGGGCAGGAAGGGTAGCAGCTGGAATTTATTTCCACATTTTGAAAGTTATCTCCACGATCGTAAGGGCTGGGTTTGTCAAACTTTATGCCAGAGACCAGACAAATTACAAACTGGCTCTGAAACCTAGGACTGGAGATGCAACACAAAGCCACTCCAGAGTCTTGGGTAACTAGACTTCACCATCTCCACGGGATAGTGATCAGCGATGCTATGTAAATTACTGTAATTACTGTGTCACGAAAACTCGTACACAATCAGGCAGATCTGGATTCTCTTCACTGTGGTATGCTACAATATAATTAGATGGAGATGCCCACAGCTACCAGAGGTTGAGGGAGGCCTCCAAATATTCAGAACTCAAAGCTTGCAAACTGAGCAGGTTCCAACCAACAGCAACAGAGCCGTTGAGATTAAACATTGCTTCCCTGGTACTGTAACATTAATTAGCTCAAGTAATTTGGCTCACTGAGCTTCCTTAAGGTATGGGGCTTTATCCTTTCAGCAGTACCATTCCTGCTGTGTTAGGAAACCGGTGTAGCCAAACTCAGAATAAGATCTTATAGAAGGGGAATATAGTATTTATTTAAAGAATTTGTATGTAAGCCAATTTTACCCGCTCACACTCATTCTTTTATAGATTTCACTTATTCACACTCACAAGCCACGAAATGTGTGTCCGAGTGGTCTGGTCCCAATCACCTGAGTGCCACATAAGCAAAATAGGATGGTGCCTGTCAAATCTTCACTAAATCTCCTACTTTTTGGAGAGTTCTTTAATAGTCGTTAAGAATTGTTGGGTTTTGGCGGTCCTGTGCTGCAGCCTCTCTTCCTGCTGGGCTGCCAAGAGAAGGAATAGGAGATGTGGAATGCTGTGACCCTGATGCCATCCTCCTATTATCAGAGAGCAGGGTCTTCTTTGAACAAGTCGACTGTGCTATGGTCTTAGTTGTGTGCAGGCCTTCTGGGCCTGGCAAAAAAAAAAACAAAGGCCAAACCTTTTGCTAGGCATGGCATCATTTGCTATGACTCCAAGCCATTCTTCAAACCACTGCTTTGCTATTGTGATGCTTACATTAACTAATTTTAAATTTATACCAAACCATCTATTTCTTTTACAAAGCTCCATGCTGATGATTGGTTCGTGCAGATCACAGCTCTGGTTTTGAAGAGTCTCTGAGTTCTGCTCAGGACAACATACAAATAACAATACAATACAACCCTGGAATTAGAATGAAAAAGAAATCCCCCAAGTTCTCCATCAAAAGCAGTGGTAAAATCTCACACTTAAAAAGTCAAATTAGTCCCAATTATTCACTGTCCCTTATAATTTATATTGACTGGCAGCTGCCACCACCTCCTGACCGCTTGGCTCATATTTATTCCACAGCAACGCATCACCTTCATCCAACAAGAGGAAAGTCAGAGCATTTCCCATTAATCCCCACCTGCACAACAGCACCGAGCCTTGATCTGCGCTGCCTGGGTGTTTCAGAGGGACGACAATGCTGCCTCGGCCTGGACAGAGGTAAGGAGATGCTTTGGGAGAAGGTGGAAACTAGAAACACCTGCCTTTAGGGCTGGATTGCCTGTTGCTGGCAGTGAAGCCAGGATGTTTATGGTGTGATGGGTACATCGTGTGGCCAGAAAGGAGAAGTGCAGTTTCTACTTGGCCTTTTTCTAGGGCTAAATCCTTCCATTCTGTCCAGCTGAGCAACTAAGTGGTAAAGAACTGAAGTTGTCCAGCTGCTAACAGTACATTTCATTTCCCTGCACTCCAATGTTGACACTAAAATAGGTATCACTCTGTTTTTTCTCTATTCTTAATTAATCCTGCTTTGCATGTTTTATTTTGTGAGCTGCTTTGTGTTCCCTTAAGTCAAATTTTCTGGTGTTCCTGCAAAATTAGGAAGGAGAAGCAGCAGCTACCTTTTTTTAGGAAAGCCTTAGTAACACTGCAGTAGTGGTTTTTATCTAAATGTTTTACGTGATCTAAATGTATGGGTAAGGGAAGGTTTCTAGGCTTTTGGTGATTTTTTTCTAACTAAAAAGAAGCTAAAGCAACATGGCTGAAAGTGAAGCTGCTTACTCAGACGTTACTAGAGTAAATGTGCAGCTGAGGGACTGGATTCCCCAGGTGCCTACCATATGGCTGTAAGTATTTGATTAACGACAACCGTTTTAGAACAGAAAACCTGTGGGTCCCACCTGGAAGAAAAGGTCTGGGAACGGGGAGGAGGGCAGGGCTGAAATTCAGAGCAACATCAGAAGAATTGGCAGAGGGTCTGGAAAAGAGAGGATCTAAAGAATTAATCTAGATGAGAATAACGAACTGCACAAATACTGTTGGGAAGCGGTGGATTAAGGAGCCGGATCAGGAAGTTACGGGCAGTTTGAAGCATGAGTCAAGTGCCCTGCTCTGTGAATAATCAGGTAGCATACCAGGATGTGTAAACAGGAACCCAGCCTGGAGAACCACACTAAATTTGCCTTATCATAGCCAGGCCTGTGCTGGAGTTTGGGGCAAGGTTTAGGTTTTGAGTTTCAAAGAAGCGTGACCTAGGGAGAGTGAATCAAGAGAACAAGGGGAATGGGTCCAAGACATGGAAATGCAGACATCTGGGAGTAAAAAGGGTTGTTAACCCCAGGAAGAAAAGGATCTCTCCCAGTCCTGTGAGACCAAACAATTTAGGAACATGTCTGGCAGCAGGTACACCCACAGCACAGCTCAGGCAGGGACCGAAGGACTGAAGGACTAAAGAAAGGGTGAGTACAAATTAAAGTGAGGAAGGCCTACGTGAAACCTTCTGAAAGGAACTTTAATAATACAACAGGGGGTTTTGCTGTCTCTTTGAGGTGACAAGCAAACAGAGCCTGTCCTGGCCTGTTGCCCAAATGGGCTGGCACCTCCAAAGGTGTCCGAGTGCCGATGCCAGGGCTAATAGCAAAACGCACGAGCACATCACCACTGCTGGGCTGCTAGCACCTTGCGGAGAGGGGTCGGAGCAGTTCTGTGCCCAGATGGCTCCTGCCCATGAGCACGGGTCGGAGTTTGCCTACAAACCTGTCCTGAAGGAGCGAGGAATGCGGTGCTACCAGGTTACAACACAGCGATGTTGCAACTCAGTGCCTGAGCTGTTCTAACAGGGGGATAAGGTCAGTCACCTCCACGCTGCCAGCAGAACCAGGGAAGACTTGTGGCAGCTCCTTCCCACTGCAAGACAGGCTGGTGAACTGATGTGTTACACCTAACATTCACTCTGTGGCTCTTAAAGGTGGCAAAGCGCTTCTGACTGCTCTTTCTTCCCCCTGCAGCACTATTAATATCCCTATAACGGACAACACGGAGACTGCCATCCCAGCTTCCCAGAGCACAGAAGCAGTGCTTTCAGGTCTGATTGTGGCACTCAAGCCCTGCTTTGTGCTGTAGGCACGGGGATTGCCCCTCGAGTGCCAGCACCCGCAGAATGGGTTAAATAAATCCTTTCCCTTCACTGCAGAGACTTTGCTGCACAAGGTCCTGAGCTCCCGGAGCAGCAGGAAAACGCCTGCCCTGGCGCTCACCAACCCTGAGCAGCCTGGGGTAGGGGCTTGGCTGGATTTGGCAGCAGGATATGGGCGGGAGAGCAGGGTCCGCTCCCTCCCAGCCCTGCCCTGCAGCAGCCCCAAAACGAAGAAAGGGGAGGAGGAGGAGGGGGGGGTTCTCCGGTAGGGGAGGGGGGAGCACGCCCCGCTCCCATTGGCCGCCGGCTCGCCCCGCTCCCATTGTGACGCAACTCCTCGCGCTCCCATTGGCTAAGACGCGGGGGAAGGGGGCGCGGCGCCGGGGCCGGGGGAGAGCGGGGGCGCCGGGGCCGCTGCTCGGTAGGTGCGGGCCGGGCACGGGGTGCGGGGCTTGGGGGGGGGCCTGGGGGGGCTCCGGGGGGCTCCGTGAGCCCAGGGGGGTGTCCGCGGGGAGAAGAGGGCGGGTTCTGCTGTTTTGGCCCCTCTCCGTTACAGGTAGCGGTGTTGCAGCTGCGGTTGCTGCGTTAGCAGGGCATGCTTCGGCGGGTCCCGCTGCTCTCCCCCTTTTTGGGGGGGTTAAAGCACAACTCCGAGTATTTCTTTTTAGCCGTAGAAGGGCTTTTTGGGAGAAAAGCGTGCCAGAAAAAAAGGAAAACAGTAATAAAAAGGAAATCCTGCAGGCCCAAAAAGCAGTGTTGGTGTGGGTGTGATCCCAAAACAGCAAAAAACTGCCCGCAGTGTGTGTGACCCCAAACCAAAAGCAGTGCCCGCAGTGTGCGTGACCCCAAATTGTGGTTTGGGGTGCCCCGCTGAACAGGACCCCAGGACGGAAGCTCCGGCCACGTCGCCGCTTTTGTTGCAGCCCGTGGGCCGAGCGCTGGCGGTGGGACGCGGTGGGTTGGGGCACAGCCCTTGTTTTCCACCAACTTCGGTGGCGACTTTTTGGCAGGCAGCTTCCTCTTGACAACGGGGAAAAGTCGAGGGATCGGTTTCCGGAGAGATCCCGTTACTCCTTCTGGACGTGCCCCCCCTGAGGTGAATGAAAAGCTTTTTGTTTTCATTCATTGTTTTGTCCGAGAAGTGGCCATGGGTACTGTTTCTGTGCCGCTCCATCGCTGGTGGGACAACCGAGGGCTCCGCTGTGGTGAGGATTTCTGGCTGCTTTCCTGGGCTTTTAAGGCCAGTGGAAAGTCTCCGCTGTGCCTAAAGCCCTGGCTGTACGTCACTCTGTGGCCGTGTTGAGCTTCTCTTTGTCTGTCCTGGCCAAGGGCTGGGGCTTGCATCCCATCGTGGGGCTCTTGGTGTGGCCTGGCCACCAGCAACATAAACTTCGGTGTTGCTGCTGTTGGAAAACGGTGAGAAACCCGGCTGTCTAGATGCTCTTGGGAGTTGCAACTATGCTTTAGTAGTAGGAGAGTTTGAAAACTTACAGAAAGTTCATTTTCAGTCTGTTTTTAAATGCAGCTTATTGTCCAGCTGCCCGGCATGTGTGGGCTGGAGGTATCTGTTATTACTGGGCTGGCTGACGTGAGACTTAAGCCACTAAATCTGATAGAAATAGCAAGGTACAGCAGCCCTCTAAAAGTAAGGAGGTGTGCCAAGGTTGGTTGTTAACTAATGCATGCGAAATTTAAACTTTTAAATACGCTTTGGTGCCTTGCTAAGCTTTGCTTTGTTTTCTGATTTTTCTAATTTTTAATTCACTGGTTGTAAAGGCATTTGTGTCCCAACCTGTGGGTTTCTCAAGCCCTCCTGGCTGGTAGGATTGGGACGGAATTGAAAATCTGGATCGTTTCTGAATGTACAGAGAGAGCGGCTTCCTGCTCGTGTGCTGGCTGCAGGGGATGTGAATGCATCTTCCTGTGGTAACTCCAAGCCCCCGGGGGGGTTTAATTGAAAGGATTATGTTGATGTGAACAGCGTGGTGGACTATAAATACATATTAATGATGAGAGAGAGTTGCATAGAGAAGGGAAGAGCGTTTCTTAAGGCGTGAAGCCAGGGACTGAGCCTACATCCCAGACTGCTGGATTTGTGTTAGCTTCTTGGAGATCTGGCCACAAATGCCTGCCTGCTGCGTAATGACGGCACGGGGAAGGCACTGCGAGCATGTGAAACACGCCGGCAAGGAGAGGAGCGAGCTGCTGGGGTGTCTGCTCACGTCCTGGCCGCTGGTGATGCCCCCTGCTCAGTCAGGGAAGAAAGCACCAAAAAGGGTGAGCATGAGGTGGGAGAGGGGGGCAGACAGGCTGTTAGGCTCTGAAAGTGACACTGGGATTTAATACGTGGTACCCGTTTGGGTTAGAACAGCAGGAATCCCACTGCGAGTGTCACTTCTCCCCGGTGCAAAGACCCTGGCTTTCAGAGCCAGGCACACAAATACCCTCAGAGGATTTCCTGGGCATTTCAATCACCTGGAAGTTGGACTTGACCTTTTGGCGTCCGATTCGCTGAGACTTCTGTGCGTGACTTGTTCAAACAAAACGTGGAAATTAGCTCTGCAAGCAAAGTGGCTGGCTGGGAACCAGTTAGGGCTGGCAAATAGCAGCGTGCTGCCTCCTGGGATCCAGAAGACCTCCGTCATCCAAACTGTACAGCGTGCTTGGAGAAATCGTGTGTGGTATGGCACTGCGACAGAAAACAGAGGTGGATTTGTGAACTTGGGAATGCTTTGGGATGCTGTTGCTGTTAGCATCACAGATTTACCTACTGATAAGCAAGCTAGATAAGCAGATGTATCTTTTTATGATACTGTTGTATAATATGTAAAAGGGGCAGGTTCATTAATCATTTTCCTCGCAATCACCATGCCGTTTTATTTGGATATCCAACCTTTTTTTGGGGGTAAAAAGAGCACAATATCACCAATTTTAGGACAAAATGGTAGTGTGTAGGGCTGTATCTGATAGTGACCCACGTGACCGTGACAAATAAGGGAGTGAATCCAGGTGACGGCTGGAGGAACAGCCCGGGGTGCAGGGTTGGGAGAGCCCTGGAGTTATCTGCCCGCCGCCGCAGCTGCTGCCACGCTGAATATAGCTGCCCAGCACTTGCTCTCACACAGCGATCATGTTCCCTCAGGCTGTCAGCATTCAGGAAGGAGGAAGGTAACACGGGAGCAGCAGCTACAGCACCTGCCGTGGGTCACGTCATGGATCCAGTCTCCCCTGGAGCCCCAGCACATCATCCCGCTGCCCTCGTGCTATAGGAACGCGTTGGCTCTGCCCGTGGGAGCATCTCGCTGGGCGGAGAGGCATAAAGCCAGCTCTCAGCAGAGGTGCCACACAAGCAGCTGCCAGCCCCATCTTCTGCAGCCCGCGCTGAAATCACTCTCGGAGCACGCAGATCTCACCCTGGCGGTCGCAGGGTCAGGCAGCTGCTCAGGGCCTCGTGCTGGGCAGAGCAGTCACCAGGGCTGCGCCTGCCTTGCCTTATTTTAAGTCACACAGAGCTCCAAAATGCTTCTTCCTCGCGGCGTGCTGCTACTTGAAGCCACCTCTTGCTGCCGTCCCTGTACGGTGAGAGCCCAGGGGCCCAGAGAATAAAAAGGAGAAAAAAAGATGATTTTAAAAAAGTAGTAATAATAATGATTTCACCCTCTTTCTTTCCTCAGCGCTGGCAAAACAAGGCTCCCCGTGTGCTGTTTCCAGTCACCTTGCTTTAGCAAAATGCAGTGAGCCTGGGTTTGTTTGAGCCAGGAGTGAGGTTTTGCTGACGGAGGTCACCCCGTGGCCTGAAACACTGCCTGTTCCCATGACTTCTGCTTTCCCCAGAGGGGGGAGCATTTGTTGCCTGAAGTTATCATCTCCTTGAATCTGCCCAGGCCCAGCTAACCTAATTAGTAAGCGCTTTAAAACCTGCCACATGCTCGTTAGCTCAAATTGGCTCTGTCCTCTGCAAGCCTGTGCTGGGAGCTTCCACCTGAGGGGGATTAGGGAGCGCCTGGGCTCCCCGTTTGGGGACCTGCCTAGCAGTGTGCTAGCTGTCAGGATGGATCATTCATATCTTACCATTTTATTGGCTTCATGAGCACCAAAGGACACCAGCCAAAGCACTCTCTTCCTTCTCCTAGACCCCAAGCGCAGTGAGGATCAGCACCTTGCCCCGTGGGAGGCGAGCAGGGGCCCTGCAGGTCCTAACCTCGGAGAGGCTGCAGCTGGGGTTTGATGCTGCCAAGTGCCTCACCCCGCCTGGGGGGAGCCCTGCCCTCTTTGCAGGGTGCTGGGAGGGGGCAAATTTGAGCCGTCGAGGTCTGAAACGCTGAGCTGCTTCTGCATCACGAGGGTATGCAGACAGCACAAGCTTTAGTCATGGTGGTGGGCTGTGTGCTGTAACAAGCCCATTTTTCACACACTTTTAAAAAATAAAACTTGGCTTTTAACCAAGATTCTTTGTTTCCTAACAGTGCTTGATGTGCATTATGAAAACCCAACTCTTCTGCCCTGTTGCAGCTCCTCATCAGAGGTCCAGAGAGGGTGCTGGTGGAGCATCCCTGTGCGTGGGGTGCCTGCAGAGCCCGAATCCACCCCCAGCAGGAGCTGGGTGCCCATCCCACCTCCCCAGCACCCGCTCAGGACTTTGCCCAGGCGCCAGGAGCACCCGCTAAAGCAAACAAACCCAACACAAGGGCAGCTCCACCGTGCTTCTCTCGAGAGAGGCTGCGACGCGTTGCCTCGAGTCATTCGGCCTGCAGAGGTGCTCTCCTCATTTCCCAAACCGTCGCTGTGCGGGTGGAAATTAGGAGTGGTCTGGAAGCCAGTCACCTGAGGTGGCTTTTGTCAGACCTGTCTGAGCTGACAGGCCAGGCACAGGCGTGCTCTGGCGTGTGTGTGTGTGTGAATCAGAGGCCGAAACCAGAGGGAAAGGAGCCCCACCGACCTGCAGCACCCTGGAACAAAAACCCAGGCTGCTGCGGGTGCCCCGAGTGAAGGGACGAGTCAGCAGGCTGCTGAACGTAGCTTCTGTGCTCAACAAACCCTTGAGAACAGGGAGAAATTGCCCAGGTTTTACCAACTTCTCCTTCAAATCTAGGGCTTAAAGGCAGGCACGAGGTGGCACAGGTGGTGTTGGCATCCAAAGTATTTTGGTTGGGTGAGACTGAGCTATCGCCGTTGTTGTTGTGCTGCTGCTGGCTTTTGGTTTTAAACTCGCTTCCAGCTCTTCCACAGCTGCTGCTTCATTCCCCACGCGTCAAGGTGAGAAGGAAGCGGGCAGTGTTTCAGGTGTCCTTAGTACAGAAATCCAGCCCTCAGAAGCTGCCAGAATCGGATTGAGAGGATCATGTTGTTTTTAATTTATTTTTCCCCCCCTACCTGATGTGTTTGTTAAATTGGGGGCTTGCTTCATGAAGCTGAGAGCTTGCTGCACGCCTCTTTACAGGGCTCCAGGGCTCAGGCTGCAGGAGTAATAAATGTCTGATGGCTCTGCAGTGCGATGCGGTGGGCTTGGCTCTACGGCAAATGTGCCATCAGCTGAGCAAGTTTCCACTAATTACCTTCACTAGAAGTTGATTTCACGAACATTTGTGAGTTGGGGCAGAAGTTGCACAGCGAAGTGCCAAGATTCGGGTTTTATAGCCTCCTACCTCCCCCTCTAACTTATTTTTTATACGCTTTTGCCTTCTGGGTGGCTTCCAGTCCACGTTTTTTGTATTTATCTTCTCAAAAACTCCCCACCTCGGCACCCTTCGGGGCTCAGCCACGTTAATGCAGGCTTTAGGTTCTAATTACCGATGTCTCATCTGGGCCCAGCGAGCTGTTGGTGGGACTGGCTGTGCATTCAGGACAGAGCTGCGAGGTGTAAAACGCAGGTTTGTTCCTGGCAGTCAGAGCTTTAATTAATTTGTGCCTGCGCGCCTTGTCACGGAAACCAGGAAACACTGGTGGGACTGGACGGCCACTTTGCTCTTCCCTGTGCTCACTGGATGTACCAAGATGTGATTTTTATGATTTTGGGGGCTTGCTCCACAACACGCTTGTGATCTTTGCTATTAAACGTAGCAAAACTTCTTTGCTGTGCGTGGAGACGAGGGGAGGTGACGATGTGTTGTGTGTTTCAGAGAGCCCAGGCCGCAGCAGCACCTCTCAGGAGCTCCGTGCCCATGGCCTTGGATGTGGGAAAATCCCTCTCCGAAGCCTCGCTGAGCCAGAAGGCCAAGTGCTATGGAAGGTGGGACTGCACAGACGCACGGACGGACTGCCCGGAGCTGGCTGACAGCGTGCACTGGCTCTTAGAGGATGCCAAACCTTCCCTGAAAGGGATGGAGAGCCTGGCGAGGGCTGGACACGCTTGCTTGGCGGCTGGTGTCACCCAGAGAGGCTCGAGCTACTGCAGAGAAGCGTCTGCAGCCCCCACGGCCAGATTGCCGAGGGTCCCTTCGTCACCCACCTCCAGAGCTGCTTGTGGGGGTGATTCCCACCCTCACCTCAGCCACCGTTTCTTCTCCTCGGACGAGCAGCAGGTAAGGGGGCCGTGCTGCCTGCCGCTGCGGGGTCAGGCCCAGGCAGGGCTGGGAGCTGTGTGTTTGGGCCCTGTGGAAGAAGGAAGGAGCGTTTGCCCCCGAGAGCTTTCATCTCAAGTGGCAGGAGAGGCCCAGAGGTGAAGGGGCTTTGTCTGACACCAGGCAAAATCCTCCTGTAGCACAGCGCTGAAAAATACGAGCTGGGGGCTGCCCTCCTCCTGCAGCGGGGAAGGGAGCGGGCACCGAGGCCCAAGCCCTCGCCCTGGTTCCAGCGGTGCTGCCGTGGGGCTGGAAGCTGCTGGGGATGGAGCTCCTCGAGTAACGGTGTCCCCGGGGCTGCCGAGTGACTCACGCAGTCTCCCGAGGCCTCGAGATGCCTTTCCCTAAAAACAACGCCTGTGCAGGCCCAGGGGAGGGGCAGGGTTCGCGTTTGAGCCTTCTCTTTGGGCAGAGCCCGGGCTGGGCTTTTATCTCTGTAGCCTGGCTGCATGAAGGGGCTTTTTGTCCGGGCGCAGAAAGCCAGCATTATTCACCATCCCCTAAGCATCAGAAATGTTTCTCCCGGTTCTTTCTGCTGGGATTTCCCAGCGGTGTGGGAGCCGTGTAACACAGCAGAGGTTGTAAACGGAGCAAACATGTGAATCACCTTCATTTTATGCCTCTCCCTCTCTTTTTCTCCCCTCCCTGGGTCCCTCATCCATGGATGTCCCAGCAGACGAAAACGTTGGGCTGCTCGGAGCCCCCCTGCAGCGCTGCCAACGCGCAGAGCTCGGCAGAGGAGAGCAGCATTGCGGACGTCTCTCACGACATCTCCACCAGCCAGTGCAGCCAAAGGCCCCCGTCCCCCTTCTCCTCCACCCTGGACTCCTTGCCCCAGCCGACCCCCCTCAGCCCCAGATCGAGCTTCTCCACCCTTTCTTTAGAAGAAAACAGCGCCTCCGAGCAGCAGGAGGTGAAGCAAGCCCCGGGCTCTCCAGCAGAAGGGAAAGCACCACGGGCACGCGAGCCCCTCGGTGCCCTGCTGGCTGAGCACGTACCTGTGGGGCGTGCGAGGAAGATGTCGCCCTACCAGGCTGAATACTGGGCCTGTGCCATCCCGGACTCCTTACCCCCTTCCCCAGACCGTGGGTCTCCCCACTGGGACCCCCACCAGGAGTACGAGGACTTGCTGGATTATGCCTACCCGCTGAGGCCCAGGTACAAGCTTGGCAAGGCGCCGGAGCCGTTCTTCCACGATTCAGGGATAGATTTGGACAGCTTCTCCCTCTCTCCCGAGGGCACGCTGACGTCCACCAGTGTCTACGGTCAAGGTTGGCAGGCTCAGGGAAACAGAGAAAAAACACGTCGGGGGTTTGGGGCCTCTGCGAGGAGGTACTCGACCCCAGTGTCTGGAAAACCAAGCTGTGTGAGAGCGATCTCCTACTGCGAACCTTCAGCTGCTGCAAAAGCATCTGTTGCAAAGAGCACTTCATCTAATGGCCCAGTGGGTCCGTCCAGAGGCTTTCTGAAGGATTTCAGGACGGAGTTAGCGGGGCTGAGTTCCTTTGATCACCCTGACGTGGGTGGGAGAAGCTGGTGCCATTGGAAGGGGAGCCCCTCTTCGAATTCCAGAGCACAGGCAAAAAGCGCGAGCAGGTTTTTACCCACAACACAAGTGCTCCCCCTGAGGAAGGAGTGGGACGGTGATGAAGAATTTCTTGCCCTGCCTCCTCGGCTGAGGGAGCTGGAGAGGTTGTCTCAGATCTTGTCCGATCTTTCCTTAACTAAAAGGACGTCCAGGCAAGGCCCCCAAACCCCTCCGCCGTACAGCGACAGCAAGCCCGAGCGGTCTCCGTTCAGAGCAGCGGGCAGCAGACACCAAAGAGAGAGCACCCAAGGCTTTCTTGGGCTGTGTCATCCCTACAGCTCCCAAAAGCCCGGCTGGGAAGGCACTGGATCGTGTAGCCGGGCTGATAGGGATCCTCTGAGCAGGCTTCACCTCCCTGCAGGCATCGGGGGAGCGTTGGACGGGACGTGCCCCAGCGAGCTGGGTGCCAAGGGGAGCCCTAAGGAGAAGGGCCAGCAGGGCGAGTCCCTGGCCCAGTGCATTAAGGTAAAAGCAGAAACTAAAGCGTGTTCTGGGAAGCTCTCATGTGCAGCCTGCCTATATTTAGTTCCTGGCCTCCCCGTGCCTTCTGCGTGATGTTTGGTCCCTGGCAGCTGCTAGTAATTTATGCAGGGCGGCTCACTGGAGCAGATAATTTCTTCTGATGGAGCAAGAACCTCTCTGGCAGCGAAGGGTTTTGCAGCCTCACGGCGTTTCTGGTGTCTGGGGTATCCCTGCTGGTGGTCCGGGTCCACCTGAAGGTGGTCACAGCTTTTGGGGAGGGCTTGGATTTCAGGGCACAGCCACGCTGCAGAGCAGAGGCGTGTCCCTGTACCGCTCATAGCAGCGGGTGCAGCAGCACAAACAAATTCTTTCCGTTTTAGTGCCTCGCTTTCCAGGCTCGCCTCTCCCGGGGCTCAGCGTCGTGGGGCTGGGCTTGACGGAAACGTGGTGATTTGTCTTCCCAAGCCCTTCCTTCCTGCGGCAAAGCTGCGAGATACAAGAGCCATGGGCAGGCTGGACCTGGCCAGCACAGAAACCCTGTGTGTGCTGCCTGCTCCAGGGTTTTTGATGTGCTGTGGCTGTCCCTGCAGCTCAGCCCTGGCTCGCTCGCCTTCCCCAGGCTGGGTTTTGCCTGTGGGTACAATAAGGCCAGGAAGTTTCCCAGGTGTATCTGGTTATCGTGCCACAGAGGCAGGGAGAAGCAGCTCGGCTTTTTAACAAACCCCAGCTCCCGAGGAGCAGAAGCGGGGCTAGGAGGTCCGGTTTCAGCAGGAGCAGAGGCCCCAGGGTTTTGCACAGCATCCTACAAAAACAATCCCTTACCGAGACGCTTTAAAAATAAATGAAAGCACTTAATTGAACGAGACAAACCCTCGGGGAGAAGAAACTGCAAATTAACTCAGTGGGTCTGGTTTGCCACGGGGAGGAGAGCGTTTCTTTGGAAGGAGGTGGTGGAGGCAAAGCCCCTCCTTCAGCCTGGGTGCCACTGGCTTTTGACACCTCTCCCTAGCAGCCACTTCATGGCACGCTCACTTCTTTCCACACAGTATTTTGGGTATGTTTAGGGGGTTAATTTGTTTCGTGCCTTTTTTTTTTTTCCTTCTCTTTTCTCTGTTGACCTGAGCGTAGGGATGTTTGTGTGCAGGGAGGGATGGCAAACGCCGCCAGCTCCGTGAGAGGGGAGCAGCAGGGAGCAGGCGCTCTCCGGAAGGCTGCTCAGCCGTGTATCCCTGCTGCTGCCTCTTCTTTGTTCGAGAAATAGATCACTAACACCTTTTGTCGTGCTTTGTTAAGCAGATGTTCTGCTGCCAGCTGGAGGAGCTCATCTGCTGGCTGTACGACGTGGCAGAGCTCACGGACAGCTGGGTGCCGCCGACACCGGACGCTGCGAGCGTGAAGGCAGCGCTGCGCCGCTACTTGGTAGGTCTCACCCTCGGCTTCCCTTCCTCCCCCTGGGCAGGAACGCTTCGCATCAGCCTCCACTGGGTCTGTGCAGCACCAGCGAGGCTGTGCCGTGCCTCTGCATGGGGGAGATAAGTCCCTGAAGCTGGCGTTGGGCACTGGGAGCGCAGGCTGGGTGCCCCACGCCCTCTTGGGGCTTCCTCTGGCAGCACGGAGCGAGGCACCCCCCGGGCAGGTGCTGCAGGGGTGTGCGGAGCCAAATCTGGGACCTGCATGGGGAGCAGCCCTCCCCAGGCAGCACGAGGCCACGCAGCGCAGGCCGGGCACCGCAGGCGGGTGTCCTCCAGGCGTGTGCTGCCCCAAACACCTGTAGGCAGCGCTCCTCTCCTCTCCTCTCCTCCTAGGAGTTCAGGAGGGACGTGGCCGACCACCGCAGCCTGACGGAGAGCGTGCTGCAGCGGGGAGAAGCTCTCCTCGAGTGCATGGCATCAAATTCACCAGGTGAGAGGGGCCTTTGGGTGAGGATTGAGGGCGTGGGCACCTCCAGCTGGCTGCTCGCGGGCACATCTGGCAGTGCTGGCATTGGCATCTGCCCCCAAATACACCTCGGGCACAGCCTGGAGGTGCTGATGCTGCCCCGTGCCTTGACCTTGCTTCACGCTGCCCCATCCGTCACGGGTGCTTGCTGCTCGTGTGGGTGATGGATTTGTTTCTGCCTGGCCAACTCCTGCCTGGGCCCTGGGTTGCTGTCAGCCTGCAGCTGGGAGAAAATTCTTTCATCCAGCACAGGCAAAGGTGATTTTTATGCCCTGCCTGCACTGGGTGAATCCCAGAGCTGGTAGCAGCAATTTGGGGCCCCCTCGTATTTCCAAAGGGAAGGCCGCACAGACTGCTCAGGGTGGTAGGGACGCTGGAAAGGTGAAGGGAGCCCACAGACCATGTGTGGCCACACGTGGCTCCCTGTAGGGTTTTGGGTCCCCAAAAACTGTGTCTGCAGTCACTCAAGGGCTTCTACTGGTCTGGGTTTGCATCCAGATGGATTTTTTATTTTTTTTTTTTTCATGGTCCTAAAGGAGGTTTCCCACGTCTGTCTGAGCACAGCTTTGGGAGCCCTGATTTTGTAATCAGCCTTAAGCTGCAGCCTCCCGGGTCACTTCCCGCTGCCCCCGGAACATTGCACCCCAGTTTGGAAGGGGTTTGGTGCTTCCTTCAGAGGCCGGTCTGGGGCAAGCAGAACCCCGTTCTTTGTTCTTCCAGCCTGGATTGTCAGGGTAATGCTGCCTCCTCCATCCTTTCTGTCCTCCAGCTTTAAAAGAAACGCTGGGCTTGATCGCGAAGCAGTCGGAGGAGCTGGAGAGCCACGCGGAGCGCCTGTACAAGTCGGTTCTGGCTGCTGTGGATCCCGGGCAGGGGCAGGACAGGGAGCAGGGTGACAGCACGCGGCAGGCAGCAGCTCAGTGGGTAAGCAGGGGGGCTTGGAGGGGGGAGAGAGGGAAGCGTAGGAAGAGAGGCACTTAAATTAGCCGCTCTGCAAATCAGCCGCTTTTTTTTTTTTCTTTTAATCTGGTGTTTGCAGGGCCAGGAAGGAGAGAAAACTGAGGGTGGTCTCGAAATGGGTGCCCTTAGTCTTCAGATGTCAGGGACAGAGCAGTGCGTGGGTGAATCCCCTGCTGAGAGTAAAGAGTGTGGTGAGGGCACTGCCAGCGCGTCAGGGACACACCGAGCAGCGGGCACCACGCAGGGTGCAGGGGATGGGATGTCAGCAGCCCAGGCACAGGCAGCTGTACCAAGAGCAACAGGGAAGCCTGAGATGACCCTTTTGTTTCCTCATAGAAAAATTGCAGTCCTCATTTAATGGTGGGAAAGGGAAACGAGGCAATCCAGGTGTAAAATACGGACTAGAAAACTTGTTGGCTGATTCTTTGAACATCTCCCTTCAATTAAAATGGCAGAGACAGGAGCATTTCAGGAGGGAAGGACAGGAGGGAGAGTAAGGGGTGAGGGGACATTTGCATTGAGTGGTGATTGAGGGCAAAGTCCCATCAGAGTCGATCCGGACAGATTTCCCTAAGCCATTGGAGCTGTAACTGGGAGTTGCTATAGAGCTGTGTCCTTGTGAAATGACTGCAGGTGCTAGCAAGGAGCCCGGTGCAGAGCCGCGGGAAGGCTCGTGCAGCTCCTGCACGCCCAGAGGTAGGAATTCAGGAGCTGGAAGATAACCTCCCTCCTCCCCCGGAGCCCAGATAGCTCAAGAATTTTGATTTCTCCTTGGCCCACTTTAAAATTTCAGCTTGCAAAGGGGAAAGATATTTGCAGAGCTTTAGACGAGTAACAACATAGTTTTTTGTTTTTGTTTTTTCTTTTTTTAATTGACTAATGAATATGGCTGTAGCCTACGCACCTAGCCAGAGGACAGGTGGAGGTGATTGAGGTACAGCAGGTTCATTGGTTTTGTTTTGGGGTTGCAGCCACCACACAGGAACAAACTTTCTGCTTCATTTCAGGTGCTGCCTCCATCAGGCCTGGGCTTTGTCGGCTGCTCTCAGGACGGCTGAGCAGAAGCACAGCACACAACAAACTGCTCCGTCCACCTCCTGCAGAGCTGCCAAAACGCGTTGAATCACCGCGTCTGCAGTGAGCCAGCCCGGGCTGATCTCAACTTGTTTTTTACTGTGGATTGAGCCAGGCAAGCAGTGCAGTTACTTGGCTACTTGTATTCCTATTTAATATTGCTGACTAAGTTGGGGGGGTTTCTGAGTGAGGAATGTACAGCTGGTTCTTTTCTCCTTTTTTTTTTTTTTTTTTTATGTAGCGTTCCCTTTCACTGAAGTGGCCTGTTCCATGCCTTAGCAAAATGTCAGGCACACACTTTTTTTTTTTAATCTGAGTAATCCGTAGTGTGCAGTGCAACTCCTAAGTAAAGCTGTGTGATTTTAATAGAAGCGTTCTCATTTTGTGTTTATACCCTTCAAAAATAGCTGCTGGAAGCCAAGAGCCAGCAGCTCTTTCTGGTTCTTGGGAGCAAACAGAACTCTTCCTTGTAATTACCATCCACTGCTGCGGCAGGGCCTAGTTTAATGGTGTTGTGTTAGGCAGAAATACGGAGCCAGGTGCTCTGGGTGGCTCCTGATAAAGCAACAAGCAGGTGTGTGTGCTCAGGTGAGTTGTGTGTGCGCTGCTGCTGCCCATTGCAGCCGTTGGGCACACTGCTGGTTTCCCTGGGTGGAGAGGATGGAGCCATTCCTCACAGCTCACGTTGCCGATAGGCGCTAATGAAGCCATGGGAAAAGGGCTCCCTAAACCCCTTCTGCAATAGAAAAGGGCACGCCTGCACTAACAAGGTAAGTGGCCAAAGAGAAAAAGGTTACAGCCAATTACAGACAGTTGGTACGTGGTTTTAATTAACCTTTAAACTAAATGGTTATCAGTGTGGGCTCCTGAATGCATCATTTCCTCCCATTCTTATGAACACAGCAGATGATGTTTGAGTATCACGCAAGTAGACGGTGAAAAGCACAGTGAAATTACTTAGAGCTCTGTTTTAGTTTAGGGGCTTGGGGTTGTTGCTTTGTTTTTTTGATACCCTCCCATGCCTCCCCACCCCCAAGCTTCAAGGGCAGGTTTTTAAATCGCAAGGTAGCAGGTGACAATCACAGCTCGGCGTGCACCAGGACAGCGCTGCAGCGAGGCTGCTCTGGCTCTGGCCTCACCACCACAGGCTCCCTGCCTGAGGGCCCTGCGGGAGTCTTACCGCAGCAGGACCAGCCAGGAATTGCCCAGCCAGGAATTGCCCAGCCAGCATCACCCCGGCTTTGCTGAAAGGAAACGCTGCTGCTGCCTCTTTGTCTCCAGGTGCCAGTTGCAGGCCTGGCCCAGTGCTGCTGAAGCCCTTGGGTAAGCCAGCTCACAGGTGAGAGAACCCCTCAGCAAGGATCTTCTAAACCTGCGCTGTGCTCCAGCCTGGCACCCAGCTGGAGCATTTAACAGTGCTGCCCTGTCAGGTCATAACTTAGGGGAAAAAAAAAATAACCACCAAACAACTGGTGTAGCCCAAGTTGGTTTTGCAATGCTTTTATTACTGTATATATTAACATTGTTTTGGATAGTATGTAGCAGGCATCTTGACATTTAAGTTCATTTGTGCAGTTCTCTGGAGGGAAGATGTTTTACCCTCAGTACACCTCCTTCTGGTTCGCTTCCTGATCTCAGCAGCACTCACTACTCCTAGCGCTCCTGCTCTCCAGGAGGAGCGAGTCACATTGTAATGAATTATACCAACAAGCACATCTCTAATAGAAAGCACATCACTTTATTTTGTGAAGGTCTCACGTGGAAGAGTTCAACTTAACCATGACAATACTTTATGTATTACAATTGCCTGTTGATTGATGCAACTATGTTGAAGAAAGCTGTTAGCCAAAGTTCCCCCCCCCCAAAAAAAAAAAATCAGAGGATATTTGCACCAGTTTTAGTTTATACCTCACAACATACCTAGGCTATATTTCTTACTATCACAGGGTGTATTTACTACTAGGGGAATGTTACATGGTCTTTCAAACATGAGACTATTTACAGAATAGGCTGAACAGTTGAGTTTAGATAAAGCTGAACAATTTTACATGTATAGGAAGTGTTATAGGCTAGCTTTCCTGTGGCTTTTAGCTAGACATCAGGCACTAATGATTTGATTAGCTCTGTACAAAGAATCACACACTGCCCAAAACCTCTTGGCTGCTGGTTAGGTCCAAATTGTTTGAAAGAGCGCCTACACGAGCAACAGTCTGGTGGGGGAATCTCGCTGTCCCCATTTCATCCTTCTGATGCCACTATGCATAACCAAATAGAAACTAAGCTGTTGCATTAAGAAGAGTACTAATTAAAAGAGGATGGAATTAACAGTATATAGAAAAGACATAATATACTGGTACAAAGTTTTTACCACCTCAAGGTTATGCTGAAGTATGCACGTCAGGGAAACACCCTTCTCTCCCCTGCTACACAAAGCAGACAGGCATTCCCTACGTCAAGTCCTTGAGAAATAAATTAAGTTCCAAGACTAAGTTAGGGAACTGTAGTACATTCAGAGTGCATTATGCCTCCATGGACACTGGCTAGGTGCTCCTGGTACAGCGCACGTGCCTTAAGCACCACGGCACCTCAGTCTTTTGGGCCATAGTCACTAGTTTTGTCGCAGGGAAGGTCTCTGGTCTACTACCAGGTCTGAGAGCCATGGCTGCACAAAGATATGTTTTGTGCACAATGCAAGCCTGATTTCCCCCTTAGCCAATACAAATTAAGACAATATTTATCACCATACAGTTTGATATTACTTCCAATAAGTACAATATTTATTAAACATTTCTTCAGTTTTGTTACATATTGTGCAACAAATTACAATATTCTGCAGCCACAAATTATATGCAGAGTATGAAGAAACTATTAATCAGAGATAGTGTGATCTTTCCATTTATAATTCTACAAGAAGGAACTAGCAAATCAGATCTTACATATATCTTACTAAATTTTATGCATGGAAACTGACAGACACTGTTGTGCTGTTTGATACAAAATGGCTAAACTTCATCTTCAGAAGACTAAACCTGACATCTAAACATGCCAATAGAAACATCAAAACAAAAATACATCCTAACCAACCACAGGAAACAGTCTGGTATCAGGAAAAGCAACAAGGATTACACGTTTATAAACCAGCACACAAAGGTTTAAAACAGTTCTGAAAATGAAGTTAGCTGTCTTGAGTCAAGGGAATAAAAAAAGTCAGTATTGACCATTTACAATCTCTGACCTTTGTGGAGACGGTAAGAATCTGTTGTAGTGCAGCTACATACAGTACAATTCAGGCAATTTTTTTTCACTTGGGTTCAGATTGCAAATTCATTGTTGTGAGACAAAAGGGGGGAGGCAAGTTTTAGCAGCAACCTCCACTAGACTGCTTGACTGGAGTGCTCTGAATTTTAACATTGGACTTCTCCGCACCACCAGCTGTTGCTCCAGGACCCATTCGTTTTTTAATCTCAGCAGCCATGGTCATGAAAGACTGTTCTACATTTGTGGCGTTCTTTGCACTGGTTTCCAAAAACGGAATTCCAAGAGAATCTGCAAATTCCTGCGAAGCGAGAAACAGCAAACAGTGAGCTCACACACCAACTCACAGCTCACCTGCTTTCCTGGTGCACCTCCCCGAGGCTCCCAGACCCCCACCCAAACCCAGTTTGACTTGTACCAAAGCATTTAGCAGGTCATTGAGCTGCCTGCATTTATGGCACACCGGCATCCGCGTACCGAGCTGCTTCCCTACACTGAACTCCACTGCATTTATGGCCCAGCCTAGCACCGAGCCAAGCCCCCCGTGTCAGTGCCAACATACCTTTGCTGTTGTATAGTCTACTACTTTCTTTGTGGTCAGATCACATTTGTTCCCCACCAACAACTTGTTGACGTTTTCACTGGCATAGCGGTCTATCTCCTGCAGCCACTGTTTTACATTATTGAAAGACTCCTAGGAGACAAGAGAGCTGTGAGCAAGGCCCCTCACCACGAGGGAAGCTGGGCACTATTCAGCAATAACTGGACACAATGCAAAGCAACATACGTATCAGTGTGCTCCACAACCACAGGGGACAGAACACCAATGCTACTGTATTCATCCACACCACCACTCCCGATTCCCTCGGGATAAGGGAGTCGCCGCAAGGCCTAGGCAATTCTTCAGGCCATCGCTCCTTCCTCCCTGGCTGGGCTCCCCCCATTATTTTTCCCTGCTCCATACTGAATAGCCAACAAATACCATCAGGGACTCCTCCTCCTCTTCCTGGAGCAGGCAGAAGATACGAGTACACAGCTGAAAGTGGAGGAATCCCAGGCATTTACAAGGCACCAGCTATTAGGTGCTTTATTAGGTGCAAGCCACAGTTGTTGTGGAGAGATGCTGGAGCAACCTTTGACTCCAAAAATACAGAACTGCAGCACTGAGCTGACATTCCAGTTAGCGACAGAAGCCGACTGTTCCCTTCCTATTAGCTCAGGAAACTCTACACTTCCGAAGAGCCCTTCAAACAGGACAACAGCACCACTGATCTCCAGAGATTCTTTCACAGGAAACACTGCCTCAGTTGTACGCTGCACGCTTGCTGACATTTTTCTGTTTCAGATTTGTTTATTGTAGACCAAAGTTCAAGCACATTCAGAAATCCCTGAGCAGTATCAGTAATTCAGACTTCCCACCACTGAAGGCAGGTTGAGAAGTACTCACACAATCCCTTATGTACCCAGCAACTTCTAGGTTAAGCCTAAGACCCTGTTACTTTACAATAGTATCCCACCTCTCACAGCTCCCTGTGCTTCTGTTTAGCCCCAAACCAGAGACTGTTCATTCAGCTTGATAAACTTTAACACAGCTGGAGACCAGTCACTGTATGCTTCGGAAATGCTGAGTTGTTAAATCCTACGTCGTGCATCAAATTGCATCTTATTTACACGTCAGCCTCGTGCATTCCACCTGGAGAACCCCTCCTGGGGCAAGGTCACCACTTACCTGATCCGTAACATCATACACGACTATGATGCCATGAGCACCTCTATAGTAACTGGAAGTGATAGTTCGAAACCTCTCCTGTCCCGCTGTGTCCCACTGCAAGGCAAACAGCGTCAGTTACTGCAGGGCAGGGTGCCGGGCCACAGTAGCTCCCAGAACACAGCTCAGCTGACCTGACACCACTGCAAGCATCTCCAGGTCCCAACTGCAGGAACTGCCCCCAGATGGTCAAACAGGATTCAAGATACAACATACTTTAACTGGGAAGTACACTGCAGCAGGTGCTTTTTTTTCTTTGTTTGGTTTTGGACAAGTGCACTAAAGAGTTCTCACAGAAAACATTTCAAGTCATTTTGACCCAAACAGAAGCCCTTTCTGCATATATAA